GCGTCCTTTGTAGTACTATTAATAGAAGGGTCGTCCTTAATCCGCTAGTACTTCAGATTTAGCGTTTCTACCGCCTCCTTAAAGTAGCCTCGTAGATCTCTTAAAAGAGGTGTTTGTGCTAGGGCAATAGCGTCTTCTTTATAACCTTCGATTACGAGTTGTTAAGTGTCGAGAGCGCGCTAGTATTCGTAAGCAAACATAACGTTTAGGCCTAGAAACAGCTCGATATATCGTCGCTATTGTAGCTTACTAATTTCGAGTCTATTGAACAGATAGTTACGTAGAATATAGTGGCAAGGTAGGCGGGTTTGAAACCATACGAGGCAATTGTAGCGAGCCGGAGTTATACAGTTATAACTGCGCAGTGTACCCTTGTATATAGGTGCTGCCTTAGCTTCTATTTCAATAGTAATATCTACCTGTTCTCGAATATGATCCTAAGCAGCTAGTAGTTGCAGTGTCTCGAAGCCTAGAAGGCCCTTATAGTACTAATATTATATGCGTTTGCCGAGCCTGTAACTAGCTAGCTGTGCCTTATAAGCCTGCCTATCGTCGACTTTAAGAACCTCGATAATAGTGCTATATAGTATATAGAACACTAGGTTGCGCTTGTTGCGGTTATACTTAATGGCATAGTAATAGCCCTCTAAGGGCGAGGTAGTCCTTATTTGTAGCAATAATAGACTATAGAGCCGCGCCTAAGTTGCCTATTTCCGTAAAGTTTGGCTATTCTAATTATAGCGTATGTATTGGACCTTGTCCTGCTATCCTATAGGCGTATGCTCTTGTAACTACTCTTAAATCTATGCTATATCGGTACTAACGTCGCCTACGCTGCGTACGTAGTAGATTGAGTAGTAAAACCGCTTAACAATCTCTAGAAACTAGGCCTCTAGAAACGAGCGAAGGAAGGTCTCTTTAACGTACCGCTAGCAGAGGTAAATTCGTACCTAATCGTTATCCTTCTACGAGAGGTTAATAGCCGCCTATTCTAAGGCCGAGTCGTCGACTATAGCTGCAATAGGCTTCTATAGTAGTAACTACACCTTAATAGCTCGAAGTCCGGCTTCTACGAGCTTAGCTTTCTGCGATTCTAGCAATAGGTAGCCTGCTAGCAGCTAACAACCTAACGCATTGCGAACATAGATAGTAAAAAGGTTCTAACTAAGGTCGGTAGTCTTATAAGTCGCGTCTAGCAAGAACAACTATATAGTATGTAAGTTAGTAATGTTTTAAATTTTTAAAGTTAGTAGTAGGAACTATAGAACGCAAGCTTTAGAAGCTTAGTTATACGCCTGCCTTCTACACTACTACTACTAATACTAACAACAACACTTACATCTCCTGCCTCGGTATTTAATAACTCTCGTTGCTACTCGCTCTAAAAGACAATACTACGCTCTGTCTTACCCTTTAGTATCTTCGATATTACCTAGAATTAGAGCTCTTTGCCGTCTATATTATTATATACACCCTTTAGCGCGACAGCAAGGTCGTCTAGCTAGATACTCGTATTTCTACGGTTACTAGTACGAGCCTTCCTTAGGTTAGGCCTAATCTTTAACTACGCTACAATACTAGCCTTTAGATACTGTCCGCTAATTTTGCTAAACTCGTCCTTTAATAGCCCCCTTTTAACGAAGTCTAACACCTTAGTAACGTTAAAAGCGCGCTATTCTATTAATTCCTCGAGGAGGACTTTTAGGGCGTTATTTGCTAACCGAATATCTATATATCTTAGGTCGTAGCAATATAGGTTATTACTAATCGCTAAAGGATCGCTTCTATAGCGGCGGACACTAATTTCGTATAGATTAGTCGCTCTACTCCGATAATGCGATATAACGACTACTATAGCGTTATACGGCTCTTTATTGTATTTAGCCTTACGAATACCCTCTCCTAGCAACCTATTCCGCTACTAATCGCGCCTATAACGACAATACTAGTGCGACCGCTGCTCTAACCTATCCTTCGTTCTCGGCGACTTTAACTCCTTATATACGTTGCTAATATAAGCCTTTAGCACCTCGAAGCGCTTAGGCTCGTACGTTAACCCCTACGGTATATTAAATAGCTACTCTCGGATATCGATTATGTTATATAGTATACGATTAGGCCTAAATAGCGGCACTAGTTTAGTTAATACAGGCGGCATAGTAACAATAGTAAACTAATAGTAACAACAGTAAACTAATTGTGCTATTTGAACTATTAGAAAGAGCTTGATCTATATACGAGAATTGGCTATAGAGATAAGGTTAGAATCGGAGGTATAACCGAGAAGGTTAACCCGGTACTACAATAGGAAAAGCACCGTCGATTACTAGGCAAACCATACTAAGTTAGTAGATAACGCCCTCCGGAAGTAAACCACTGTTGTAAACAGTAGTACGCTAAATTTCCTAATATACAAGAATTGCTTACTATTGAACTGCTACCGATACGGTTTGTCTTAGATATTAGGAGTTTTAGTGAAAGCTTAACTAGAGGAGTGGAACAGCCGTTCCGCTAGTAATTACTAGCAATAAGCTCCCGCAATCCTCCTGTTTCGTAGCGTTGAAAACCACTCGGCGGTAGTAACGAATTAGGTTAAGAAGGGCGCCTCTCTCGAGCCTATCGGTTAACTATTGCTAACTATCGTAGAAGCGGCTATTTAACTATTATAGAAGTGACAATTTTGCAGTAGAAGAGACTATTATATAGACTAAGAGTTGTTGCTATAGAATTGCTATATAATTACCGCTTTCTACGACTATAGCGGAAGGCCTATCTATACTAATTGCTATCTCGTCGAAGGCGGCGGACACTAATTTCGTATAGTTTAGACTGCCTACTGCGATAATGCGATATTACGACTACCGCCGCATTATAAGGCTCTTTATTGTATTTAGCCTTACGAATACTATCTACTGCTACCCTCTTCCGCTACTAATCGCGCCTATAACGATAATACTAGTAGCTTCGCTGCTCTAAACCGTCCTTCGTTCTCGGCGACCTTGCCTCCTCCTATATATTGCTTACATACCCCTTTAACACTAAGATGCTATTATAGCTATTAGAAAGAGCCTAGTTTATATAACAAGAATGCACTTACAAAGAGCCGCGGAGGTGCTAGAGGTGCGGTTAGAACTAGCAGTATAACCGAGAAGGTTATTACGGTACCAGAAGAGGATAAGCACCGTCAAATGCTAGACCAACACTACTGAATCAGTGGATAACGCCCTCCGGAAGGTAACCACTGATCGAAACAGTGGTACGCTAAATTTCCTGACATCCAAGAGGACCTGCCGACACAGCTCATCACATGCTCCAGGCTGCAGGATTCTGACATCGACCGAGGCTATTTCTTGAGCCTTCTGCGAGATGAGAAGAGTACGATGGGGGCAAAGGGCAAGTGGAGAGGCCTGGGTACACCAGTCGTCGCAGCAAGACCTGCGAAATTACGGAGGAAGCTTGAGTTGGCAATGTGAGGACTGCATCAGGAACAACGCAATCGAGCACCCGGCGGCTCACCGCTTCTGGCTCATCTGCTTTCTACCGCATTGCGCCTTCACGAGTACAGTACACGTTCACTTTCACGTACAGACTGCGGAGATTCTGATCGCGATCACGAACAATCGAGAACGGCAGTATTGCCACGAGTACGAATCTTCGCCGCTTGCAAGAGAAACACAGCCATGGCTACGGGCAGTAGTAAGCCTTTGATCGTCGTTTCTACTACGGCCTTCCCCAACAGGGCCGCCATCGACTAGTGATGCAACTCGCTGCCTTATCCGCTTGAGCTTCTGCACCCATTCGGCCCGCACACTCTCGATTCATGCTACCAGTCATGATCACCCATCAATACGCCCATCGCCGACACGCAGCGATGCCATAGCGAAGTGACATTCGACACGCCCAGGCGCACGATTGCATGTCGCGTCCGCGGCATGGTGTGCTAATCTAGTGCCAACGAGCCACGAGGCTGATCACGAATTCCTGCGACCTCTAGGGCATGGGCTAGGCCATGCTCCGCTTCGAAGAGTTTGGACTTTGGCTCTCTTGGGCTTTTTGCTTGACTTGACTTGACCTAAGAACTGCGACGTTGACGTCGGCAGCGCTGGCGCTCTACCTCCTTGCTACGAATCTCGTGCAAATAGATGGCCCTATGTGGCGAATGTCGTATGGCATCGAAGTACTGATACCCATCGGCAGTTCAGTCAATGGCAGCGCAAGGTCGACCGTGCGAGGCTTTGCGCTCCACATATGATATTCTCAGAAGAGACAGACGTATGAGCTTGGTGACTTGGGTATTCCAAGCATATCCAGCAACCAGCATCCCGTTCGTGACGGTGTGAATCGCTTGCCCTTTCTTTTTGCACTGTCCAACCGCCCGCGACGTCACGCGGCCCCATTCTGCTGTCGACCAGGAATCCCGAGCTCCACGAACCTGGCGTTCGATAGCTCGCAAGCAGCTCCTGTCTAGTCACACACGCCTGACCAACGCCAGCATTATGCGGCCACGCGCGCGCGAGGAGAATGAAAATTCTCTTCACGTGTAGACTATGGATGTGTGCAGAGAGATGCCGAACAAAATTGTGCTGCCTGGCGTCCGGAAATGAAGATCAGATGATCGAACATGCTAGTGCAATCTTTATCTCGACGACACCGAGTTCTACGATGTTGGTATGATGTCATCCTGCTTCCAGAAGCCTTGCGTACGAGACCGATTTGTCCAGTCGAAGTGTGGGAAACGCGGCGATCGCCAAAGTCGCTTGTACTCCAGCGACCAGGTCTCGCTCATCTTGGCTTTTCGGGAAGGCGGAGGCCCTCCGCACTACGAAAAAAGCGGAGAGAAAACGACGCCATCTTCACAAGATACCGAGGCGCCACAGGCATCCACATATCGGATCTTGCACATCGGCCTCGAAGATTATTGGTCGTATCGTTCTATGGTCATTTGATGATATACCACACGCCACTTCGTCGACACAAACGACCATTTTCAATCCCAGAAACAACCACGCACGGCGACAACCTTCACGATGGTGTACGCAGACAGAAGGCCGACCGACTCCATGAAGTCGACGTGGAGGAAAGATCCGAGTCAATGGCGATTTCCGCACCGCTTCCTGAACGCCGTCAACGCATTCTACAAAGATCTGGACCAGGAGCCACCGAAACATGCGAAGACCGACAAAGTGCCATACATGACTGAATGGAGTTGTCATGTCTTCATCCTCCTCCACGCGGCATGGCCGATGATCATACAGCAAGCTTACATGTGGTACTACGGAAAAGACATGCATCCGATCTCTGCATTCTTGCTATACACAATCGCGATGCAACTCAACGCAATCCGAGAAGTCCGTCTGCTCAAGGCGCTGGGGATGAAGTACGGCTACCTCGATGGAGACAAGCACGAACGCGACGAAGTCCCGGATAATGGTGTGGGCAAGGTTTTAGCATCACTCCAACTCACCACAAGCATCCGACCCATGATCGCCATCTTCTTCGCCTACCGCCGCTCCCAAACCGGCAGCCTCTCCCTCAGCTGGTGGCTCCCAGTAGAACTCTTCCTCTACTCTCTCGTCCTCGACGGTTGGTTCTACCTCTACCACCGCTCCTCCCACGAGATCGACGCGCTCTGGAGCATCCACCGCACCCACCACATGACCAAACACCCCACCCCGCTCCTCTCCTCCTACGCCGACTCGGAACAAGAATTCATCGAAATCGCCCTCGTCCCCTTCCTCACCTGGGCCGTCCTCAAATTCTTCTTCCAACTCCCCATGGGTTTCCACGACTGGTGGGTCTGTCACGAATACATCATCTTCACCGAAGCCTTCGGACACTCGGGACTCCGCATCTACTCCACCACTCCTTCCGCTGCCAGCTGGTTTTTGAAACTTGTGGATTGTGAGCTTGCGATTGAGGATCATGATCTTCATCATCGGAAGGGTTGGAGGAAGAGTCAGAATTATGGGAAGCAGACGAGGCTTTGGGATAAGCTTTTTGGGACTACGGGCCATCGGATTGAGGCTGTGCCCGAGAATGTGGATTATGGGATGCGGTTTAATTTTCCGTTTTTTTAGATACGTGTGGATGGAGTTGGGGGATGGATGAGTGATTATGATAAGATGATGTGGAATGAGATGGATATACCCCGGATGAAGGAAGCGATATGTACCAGTCCATATCGATATTGATGTGCGAATATATACATTACAGTATCAACTGTCCCAGCCTTGTTTTTTTTCTGTGGATACTACCCGGGTTTCTCTCATCAGTACGCACTATATTAACTGTTCATGACCCAAGAGGTACGCACCAGATCGAAGTTATACACACATACATCCTTCATTTCTCGACGATTTTGACAACCTCTCGTCACTCAAAGATATTGCAAAGCGGTCTGGAAGTCTCCATTTGATAAGGTATGATCGAGCATGGGCGAAATGACAGCTTCGACGAATTATGAGGAGTCGTAATGTACTCGTCGAATTTGACGGTAAGATCTTTAAGCTTCAGGACCATTGGTTTTGCTTTATCCGACCTCATAATCAACCGGACAGTGGACGTATATACGCGAAATGTGTATTTCTTTGGACGATTATTCTTCGCTTAGAGATACGATCAAGCGGCCTGTAAGTCATTTCAGAATCGAAGTGCATGACCTATCTATCTCATGCCTTATAAAATAGAGCTGACGGCGATTATTTTGCTCGTTAACATCGTTTTTAGTCCTTGTGAATTAAGGCTATGCAGTACAGTAAGACAAGTTCGATCACAGGTGAGAATGTTAGAATTAAGTGGCTAGAATCGATTTGTTAAATAGGTTTCATTTCGTAGAGTCGGCTTATCGCTAACAATCTCTCAGTCTAGAATTACTAGTCATCGATGTCGGCAAGCTTCCTTAAAACCATCGCCTATCTATCGTAGGACACTGCAATTACTAAAGCTCGATAAAAACGCTATGCTCTGCGTTAAGAAATCCGATATAGAAGGGCGTAACTATTTATAAACCTGCCCTAGTTATTCGTAGACCGCGGACCGAGAGCCGGCTCCGGCCTCGGTAAGACTATATTGCTAGTAATCTACACTATAGAATATCGCAACAGAGGCCTCTAGTGCTCTCGTTAGCGCTGAGTAGAATTATAACGTAAGAAAGAGAAACTGAGTAAATAATAGATATAGAACTAGACAATATAGCTAATCCTAACTGTTCTAGGTATACTGCCTACCTAGCAAATAAGGTTCTACGACCCTCGCATTAACGTATAGCTCCTACTATACGATCTTAGTGTATTCTGGCATTACTGCTAGCGCTATAGGTACTAGTAGAGCCCTCGGAGCGGGCGGAGGTCCTTCCTAAGTAGGTAAATAAGTAGATATAGGGTTTCTATCGCACTGCCTATGCTTGTAATAGCTAGAGTAGCAGTCTACGTTATCTTTAACGTACTTGCACCTCCTGTAGGCCGTTTTGTATATACAGCCCTTACGTAAACGTTCTCGTAGTGCTAGTAGCGGTAGAATAGGCCTCCTAGGCTCGGCCTGTCTTATCGCTTCTTGCTGGTTAATAGCGGCCTATCTAGCGGCCTGTTTAATTAGCTTAGGTCTAGTAGCCTTACGCCGAGTCGTACGACTAAGCCGCTTATTAATCCGCTTAAGTGGCTCTAAGGTGCGGTGAGTAGTTGTCTCGTTGCTATTGTAATCGCTCCGTAGCACTCGCTAGTGCTTCTCGAACATACGAATAGTAAGAATGCCGGTTACAGACTCCTTAAGGGCCAGCATCTAGTATATACAATTCAAGCTATAGACCCTTCGATAACACTAGGTACAATCTAATAGCCTGTAACTATTAGACTTCCGCTTCTCGAGCTCGGCGCGTACGAGAGCCCTTCGCTCGGCCACTTTGCGTAGAGCGAAGGTGCTAATATAGCTAACAACTTCAGCGTAGAATGGATCGCTTAAGAACAGTATAGTAGGTCGACTAATCTCGGCTCCAACTATAAGCCTATAGCGGTCAACTTAGTACTAGAAGTAGGGCACTATTTTGTTAATAAAGCTATAGATATCGTTCTTGCAGGTCGTTAACTATGCCTTAATGCTAGCGTAACAACCTTCTACTAGCGAGGTTGTTGTATTGCTATAATGCCGCGTCCTGTCAATCTAGTATTTAATATAGTGCTGTCGATAGACCTACTATATATTAGCTATATAGCTAGCTAGCGATTGCTAGTCTTTATTGTCCGAGTAGTCGCGTGTAGGCTCGCCTTTACTAGCGGCAATCTTACCGTTCTCGAGGGCCTTCGAGTTGGTTGTAAACGACTCAACCGACGGTAAGTTAATAGCCTTGTTAAATAGGTCTATAAAGTCCTGTGCGGCTATACTCAATAGCCTACGCCTTATAGTTAGATCCGGCGGTCTAGTGCTAAGGAAGGCCTTCGAATTGGCCTCTACTACGCGTCTGATATACTAGCGGTAGAGCTGTGTATATAAATGAGTCTAGTCGCTTGCTAGCGCCTTCATTAGTACCTTGTTACGGTCATAGATTATAAGGCGAGGCTCTTTACAGGTGTATTCTGCTAACAACTCCTACGTACACTAAATAGCAATTAAATACTGCTTAGTCGCCTGTCTAGGTATAAAAACTAGTGCTAGAGGGAAGGTTTGGTTAAACTGATTAAGTAAGGCAATTACAAGCAATAGCATACTATATTCGTTGGTTTTATAGGTGCAATCTATAACTATAATATCCGGACAATTCTTATAGATGTTAATTATCTTAGGGTGCGAGAAATACAGCTATTCTAGCCGTTGCTCACCGCTTAGTCTAGTGCTAATACCCTTCCGTACGAAGTAGTTCTGTTATAGGAGGTCCTTAATCGTCTTGTCGACTACTAACTTGCTAGCGAGTCGCAACTTCTTAGCCTTTTACTAGGCATTTAAGATATCTCGTAAAGTAGTAGGTATAATAGGCGATTGCTAGTCTCTACTACTAAAACGGAGCTTAATAGCGGCCTTAATCTGTCGATTGCTAACGCCTATAGACCTTAACTGCAATATAGCCTCGACAATCTCTATTATACGAGCTCTTCGGCGGTGGTTAGCTAGTGCTATCGGATAGACTGCTAGATAGTTGTAGTTAGAGCTATTCTATAAGACAGACTAGTAGCTATCGTCCGGATTATGCCAATCCTTAGCAGCGAGGGTTACAGACTATAGGCAATCGCATAGCTTAGAGTAACCTTCTCGTGTCTTTGCTATTAGATTAAGCTGCCGCCGTGCCTCTCGTTTGTCTTTTATTGCTTTCCGTATTATAGGTATTAAATACCGCGCGTAGCGGCGTGTTATCCGCTAGAGTACGTTGTCCTTGTTAAGCTTATAGCCTATCTTCTTCGTCTTAAAGCCCTTCTCTAAAGCGAAGGTTTCTACGTATTCCTCGGCGGCTATAATGCTGTTAAACATACGGTTTTCGGGGTTCTCGATAGTAGCAAACGAGCCTGCTTAGTATTCTTCTATTTCCGACTTAGACTAGTTACTATATTCGTCGTTGTTACTAAAGATATACGTAGGTTAAGAGGCAGTCTCGATTTCTAAGGGAGGAAGTTGTTCTTACTAACTAACCCCGCTGCCGCCGACTATAATACTACTACTACTACCACCACTACTACTAATACTAGTTACAACACTCTTAGCACTAGCGCCGCCCTATATAGGACTAGCCGCCTTACCGACCGCACGAAGCGTAAAGCGTACGGTAGTATACCCGGCAGCGTACTATACTATTATCTTATCGAGAAACGGCAGCACTAGGTCCTTAGATACTATAAACTCCTTATCTAGCTCTTTATATAACTAGGGGTCGAGTCCGTCGTATCTAGCCTCTATTTCATACGTCGTAAGGCGGACATAATTATCCCTTGCCTACTACGCCGCATTAGACCTCTAATCTATAATAATATTATCTAAATACCGCCGATCTATACTATAAAGGTATTCCGTCGATATTAGGCTACGGCTACCGTATAGCAACTCTACCTATAGCTTCAAACCTCCTTTATCGCCTTCTTGCGGCGGCCGAGCGAAACCCTAGCGTAGGTCCCTCAACTAGCGCTTCTTATTATTAAAGAGCGAGGTATTGGTGTATTCTTCATCGGCGGCGGCGGCGGCGGCGGCGGCAGTATCAGCCTGTAACTGCGCAGAAGGGCTCGACATAGCGGCGACAATATAAGGTGTTGGCGGCAATAAGGTGTTGGCGACAGTGAGGTAAGGCGAGAATCCTATAGCAGAGAAGATGGAGGTAGAATTGGTAAGGTGTTACTAACTAATTTGCCTCAGGCTCCTCCGTTGCCGGAGGGCGGGTTTACATATAACCAGGGCAGGTTTATGAATAGTCACGCCCGATGCAGAACGCCAATCCATTCTCGCGAGTCGGCGGTATCATCCTTCGCCATGCTCCAGCTCCCCTTCAGTCAACCTCTTCCTCGCAGTGGTCTTAATAATACCCACCACGATCTCGATCTCGACGCCCATACCCCTCACCTTGCTGAAATCGAACTATAATCCCATCAGCATTATCATCTCCCTCAAGTCATATCAAAATCAAACCAGCACTAACCTCGACCACGCTGCTCCCCTCCACCACCACCATAATTAGAAGGATAAAAAGGCCAACGCTCATCCTCCACACAGTACGAACCCTCATTGATATAGCGCTTCCGATACTGCTGCATATCCTGGAATTCCTCGTCAGTGATCACTCCCATGAAGCTCAGCTCAGTGAATGGATTACGGTACTCACAACCTCATCCCTAGGCCCCTCAGCACGACTCGGATCAAAATTCCCACCCACACGACCGCCCATCTCCTGCCGACGCCGCCACTCCTCTTCCCGCTGGCGCTGAACGGCTTGTTCGCGACGCCACTCGTCTTTCTCGATGCGGTACTTGTTGACTTCTGCGTCTTTGTACCGCAATTCTTCTTCGAGTGCGCGGTAGCGCGAGGCGCGGTCGTAGGAAGACTCTGAATTCTTGCCACGATTGGACTTCTTGTAGCCGTCTGGTCCGGATTGGAGACGATCGCGGTATTCTTCGTGTTTGGCTTTGTGGAGTTTGTATTTTTCGTAGGCGTCTTTGGTGATGAGGGATTTGGTGTCGGAGGTCTTGGATTTGTCGTCGGATGTGTAGTGATTGCTGCGGTGGCGGCTGGAGGATCGGCCGTCGTCGTATTTGTTGCGGTGGTGGCTAGTTGAGCGATCGCGAGTGCGGGTCGGAGAGGAATAGGTAATACGAGGCAGACCTCGACCGCGAGAGCGAGAGCGGCCTCGATTCATGTCTCGCATTGCTGCTGCGTAGCCCTCGACTTGACCGACGGCACGACCGCGCTGGACTTGCTCGATGTCGCGAAGGCGGTTGCGGCCGCCCATCACGACGACTGGAGTGGCTGGGACGAAACCGAAGGGAAGCATGTTGACGGTGCTTGTGGAGATGATGTGGGAGAAAGGATTCAGGTTGGGTTGAAAGCAGAAGTCGAAGTGGTATCGCTAGTGCAGAGGATGCTCTGTTCTTGGTCGAGGTTGGCCGCGAAGAGGATGACTTTTTCTGAGGTGCAGAACGGGATTTTGTTTGTTCTGGTGTGGTAGTCTGAGGTGGTGATGCCGTGAGAATCAGGTCGAGGTTGTGGATTCGCGAGCAGGTGCGCTGAGGAAAAGTGTGGAAAGAGGACGAAAAAGGTCGCATTAAGTAGGAAGAGATGGCATCCAGACCGCGCGCAATCACGAGCGCGTTGCCCTGACGAGGATTCACTCGAAGCATGGTCCATGCGCAGGATGTTTTGCGCTTGATTCACTTTCACGCTCGAGTCCTTGATCCATGCAAAGTGCGGCTATGAACAGCCATCATCAACTCCGGAGTCATTGATATATGCCGAGAAGCTGTGTATAGTCGATAATGGGTCCCAGAGGACATGTCGAGGGCATTCTGCATTTCCGCTGGAGTTTATGGCATGTCAAAAGCGGCTTTCCAATGCCTTTGCCAGTCATAGAGCTCGGACTGTGTGCTTGGTTGCTTGCAGCGAACACCGTTGACCCGACCCTATGGCAATGTGCAACTGCACAGATTGATACCCACGGCTTGAATTTGGAAAGTGGCTACTCCATCATCACCATCTTAGCCAGTCTCTTTTGAACACATCCCCAATATGATGAAGCCACCTAAATCTACCACCCCTCCCTCTCCCTACCTTCCCACCTCCGCCTCTCCTTCTCCAACAGATCCTCCTCATACCCAAACCTCCCCAAATCATCCTCCCTCGCAACAACAGCATCATAAACCTCCTTCGGCAATCCCAACTCCAGCGTACTCAACCAATTCTTCACCTCGCCATAATCCACACTGACCTGGCTTAAACTCGGCATTGTTCCAGCGGTGTAGACTTGTGAGAGCAGGAATTTGGCGTGGGCGAGTTGTTCGATGCATTGGACTAGAGCCTCGGGATTTTTGGGAAGTGTGGACAGGAGGTGAGAACTCGCGTCTGTCAATGTTGCTTTGAATTTTGCGAGGTCGTGTTGGAAAGTTGACAAGTCGGATTGAAAGCGGGCGATGTCTAGATGACCGTTTTGGAAGTACTTGGTGTCCGTGTTGTTAGAGCTCATGACGAGTTCGTTCGTGTTGAGGTCTTTGGTGAAGGTGAGCCGCATGGAGGTACTGAGCCGCGTATTTCAGTCATGAGGGATGTTTGCTCATCTACGAATGGAGGGAAAGGAGAACTTCGAAGTGGTTTCTCGGGATACAATTTCACGCGCGGAGACGTTTCGAGCATCTTTTCACCATGTGATAACCTCTATGTGAAGCCATGTCCTGCGCGCATATTCCTGGAGGCCATAATATCGCGGATGCCAGCTTCTACGTCCTGTCAATGTGTCAGTGTGTTTTCTACTTGCTCAAGTTCGGAGTCAGACAGTACCTTGTATCCATACTTCTTGTCGTCAAGCTTGTAACTCTTATCAAGCACCACTGCATACACGTCCCCGCCCACCGCGTCAGTCAGGCTCACGAGCCATTCGCGCACTTGAGAAGGGTCCGGCTTCGAGTAGTTTTCGGGCTCTACGTCGGCCAGGTATATGTTTTGCAGATGGTAGTGAGCACGAGCGAGCTGCTCAATCAAAATCGCGCGCTGCAGTTCACGGTCGAATCTGGTTTTGAGGGCATCGATTTGGTTCTGGAGCTGGCGATTTCCTTCTTCGGCTTTCCGAAGGCGTTCTTGCAGTGCTTTGATCTCTTCATCCTTGGTGAGCTCGGTGGAGGGCTTGATGATCGCGTAGATTTGGGCAAGTTGGCGCAGTTGATGAGGTGGAGTTCAGAAGACGTACTTCAATTGCGATGTAGCTATTGGCCTTTGAGTGGATCAAGGTATGGCCGAAAAGTTGGCCGTATAGCTCTAGCATCAGCAGATCAGCTGTCTTCGAGTTGCGTGCAGTTGCAATACGAGAATCTTTCAATGGTGGAGCGGCAAGCAAGGTGCATCTAGCTTGCAGCTCACGTCAGAGCAAATCAAGGGTTGTAGAATGGCAGATTTTCAGTGATATCCAGACACTGAGCAGGCCGGGGCCAGCTATGTTGACCTTGTCTGGCAAGCGTTGTGATAAATTGGCGAGACTGCGTGCCTCTTTTACAGATTCCGGCCTTGTCGGAGGCAGCCCGGCGGCTACCAGGCCTGAAACAGCGCGATCGCGGTCATGCTCAAAAAAAGAGTGGTCTCTGTACAAGACTGAGTCCATGCTCTGACGGCCGCACATCCAGGGCATATGGCAATCTCTTCATGCTATGGCTCAAGCCCATAATGGTCTGCCTGTAGTTCCCCACTTCTTTCAAGAATCGCCGTGTGAATGCTCCCACCCAATGCGCCAGATAAATCCTCGAGGTATGCGGCTATTTGCGCCATTTGAGGCTTCTTCGGATGTCGCCATGAGTCCTCTTCTGCCAAGTAGACGGTTTGCAGTAAGCAGTGAGCTCGCGCAAGCTGTTCAATCAGGGAGCCATGGACAGCATTGTCATCGGGCGTCGTCGAGAATTCGATTGCGAATTCTTCCATGTCGGCGGACACGGCCTGCAGAGCGCTGACTTGTTGCTGTAGCTTGAGCTTCTCCAGTTTTGCCGTTTGGAGGCGTGCTTCGATGTCCTTGATCTTGTCAGCCTTGGAGAGCTCCATTGTGACAATGACACGGTGTGCGAAGTCAGGACGAAGCCTAGGTTCCTGGTAAATGAGACTCTTAGAGAGTTTCGGCGTGATGGCAAGATCGATGAGAACCATTGAGTGCAATCACGACTTGTCATAGCTCACAACAAAGAGCTGTCTAAAGGATGACTGCTTTCCATATGCGGATGCTGCTACCTTTGTTCCTCCTGCCTCTGCAAGAACATTGCATCGAGACTCCACAAAGTCAGGCACAGAGCCTGTTTCCCTTGCATTCTGAGACCATGGTATGGAATGGCATTCTCTCTGGCGTGGACAATCATCTCATGTCCTAACCATTCTCGCGCCATCGCAGTCGATTGGTGGTCGTGATGAATCCTCAGCCAGCTCAATTGCCACCGGTCGATGTCGATGAATGCTCCAGTAACTTCTGTAGATCATTCTGGCATGGTTTACTGGGGGTAGATGCTGTAGCATGATGATTTCTGCGTGATGATGCTTGGATGAGCCGCTTGAAGAAAGCTGCGATTGACGATGCCGCATGTGCTCTTTCACGACTTCACAGCTTTCCGTGCCCTGACACCGCCCTTCTTCGCCGGCGCCTTTGGCTGTCCATGCTGCTTCTGCGGACTCGACTCCTGTACGTCGGCTGGTGCATTGCCCTTCTTCGCCCGCTTCTGCTTCCGCAGCTCCACGATTCTCTTCTCCAGCAGGTTCTGCCTCCCACTGCGCTGCGGCGACCATACCATGAGCTTGCGCACTTCCTTCCGCGTCATGCCGAAGCGCTCCATGTAGCTCTTGCGGTTACGCTTTTCGGCCTGCTTCGCTTCCAATGCCTCTTGTTCCTGCTGGCGTTCCAGTTCTTTCCGCTTACGTTCTGCAGCGATTTGGAGGAGACGATCGCGGAGCATGTCGGAGGCGGAGGCGGACGTCATATTCTCGTATACCATGTTGGCGGTGGGTGAGATGGAAGCCGGGGAGTTGTTATGATCAGGTCATCAGGAGATGCGAATAATGACGCGGAAGGCACGTGGGAGCTGCAATTGGCTTTCGGGAGTGGTGGCGGGGAGGGAGCGACTTCGAGTGCAAGCCTCAACATGAGCGATATTGTGGCCCTCGTACAGCCCGCCCTCATCATTCCTTCCAACATCTATGCCGGTTACGCCTGTATCTACCAGTCCCGGTCGTGCATCCTCGCCGAACTCCTCGCGGCTGTTGTGTGATCGACGGCTGGTGGGTCGCAGGAGACACCCAGGTCAGCATCAACCAGTATGCCGCGCATCACGACGAGGAAGCGTTTCATCGAGTTCACGAATACATACCAGAGCGCCGGCTGCCAGACAGACCCGACGAGTTCAGGAACGATCGATTGGGTTCTGTTCAACCGTTCCACATCGGGCCGAGGAATTGCTTGGGTTGAGAAGGGTGAACTTGATCCGAATGCAGAACCTGGCGTGGCATGAAACGCGACGACTTCTTGCTGCGGTCGTGTTAGACTTCGATGTGGAGCTAGCTATGCGAAGGAAGCAATGGAGAGAGGGCGCGAGCAGAAGATCTTTGGATCTTGGGAGGCATCGCTTCATCTTTGCTGAGACACTTGCTGACTGTGCGCACCTTTTGTTGCTGCAGGGAGAAGACACCACTCATGTGCCGTTTGACGCCAGCTCGGCCGTAAAGCGCGAATCAACCGTTGAACCCAATTGCGGTGCTCTCTCATCTGGTTCAATCACTGCAATGGCATTCCTTCCTTCTTGCTCCTATTCGCAGCCGTTTTGGACCTCTGACACTGTTCTCTAGACACATGATTCATCCACTCGCAACATACATGCTCAATCCATCATCGAAGCAGCCGGTAACGTGAGCACAGGACTCCCGTGTCTTGCCATCGTCGTGGCAATACGCACCGTGTCGCGCGAAGCCCAACCAGGACCCAAAAGACCCCGATTGGATGCAAACACCCACTCAATGCCACGACGCGAATCAGGCCTGCTCCCTCTTGACCTTGCTTTCATCGGTGTCGTCGATGGACTCCTTCTTCTCGACTCCGACCTTCTTCTCGACGAATCAGTCAGTATCGGCATGCGACCAGCTTCCTGCTTACAGACTTACATCTCCACCCTTGCTGTCCAGCATGGCCACATACTCCTTGACCCGCTCGCGTGTCACCTCTGGCAGGTCTTCCTTTACGTCTTGCTTCCACTTCTCCACTTCCGCACCATCCACGGCCTGGTCCAGCATGCGGTAAGCGCACGCCAAGTGCCAGAGGCATTTATTATGGACGACGAAGAGCTTGCCAAGGTCGGTCTGCTGGATGTTACGCTGGAGGACGGTGCGGTTGAGAAGTGCGACGTGGTTTGCGAGATAGTTGATCCCGGCTTGTGCTCTGAGTGCCCTGTCTTGGAGCTCGCGGCTCATGTCGATCAACTCTTCCATTTTGTCTGGTGTCATGGTGGAGAGGTGGAGAGGTTTAGTGACTTGATGGGAAGCTGAAGATGGACGAAAGTGAAAAGATGGGATGCGAGGTTAAAGAACTAGAGCTGGATTCGCGTTTGCTGATGACGCGGTCAAACGCTACTGAGGCGGTCAAACGACAGATGCAGGGAGCCGTGAAACTTCCGACATACCATCGTGGAGCACTGCATTGCTGTAGGACTGTCAATCCTTGGTCGTGATCATCTACACACCATTAAACTCGACAAAATTCAAAGCGGATTCCAGGCCATCCATACTAGCCTCATCCAGTTTGTGCAATTCGCTCGCAAAATGCTGAAGCCTCTTCTCAGATTAATTACCCGGGAATGAATCTACACCCTCACCAAAGCACGGATGGAGCTCGTTAGGCTGATACCCGAATGATCCGTACCCAATGAGTATACATGAACACCTCAAGATTAACGCCCACCGGATCCCAGCACGGAATATCGGGGACGCAGCCAGCGAGCCGACTTCATGCCAAGAGACATTCGAAGAAACCATGTGCTTGACGAGGGTATGCTGTCTGCTCAAGTCGATACCCGTTTCCCGTTGCGCATTGCGGAGAATCAGGCTGAACCGCGAAAGTCATAATATGGTAGCATTGCTACATATCTGTGCTTGAGCTTCTTCAGTGCCACAGTACTGAATTCGAATCAAGTTGCAATTCAATTTCCACTGACTATTTGAGCTGTCGCACGATATATTATAGGGATGTCGACATTTTCGGAGCTGGGGTAGCAGGTCTTTTCACAGCCTTGGTACTGGCACAGTGTTTCTCAACACTGAATCCGTATCAGCTGGTTTCCTCTTGTGCTGGAGGACCTGGAGAAGGCTGGAATTTTTGAAGAATGAAGTCATTGCTGCTGGTGAGAAGAGAGGTCATGGGCAATGCAGATGTCAAGAGTCACGCCGATGTACATGTACTTCCCTCATTGATCGCCATAAGCAAAGCTACCTCGCAATCGAAATCCAAAGCTCCTCATTCATCACCTTCTCGACAATTCCCCAATCCCATCAATTACTCCTAAAATAAGCACACCCCACAATCACCCCCAACCCAACCTCGTTTTCAAAACCCTCCACATCAAACCTCATACGCTTCATCGCCGAAAGCTTCCCTCCATTCGGCGGCGCATACTTCCTCCCATCAAAATTCTCTGGCTGCTCGTACAGAAAGAAGCAATACCGATGAGGACCGCTGAGAGGCGGTGGAGCAGGTCCGATGTAATCTGCGACAAAAGGCTCGTTTGTGGTGAGGACGTTGTCGGCAGAGGCTTTGAGGCCGGGTTGGATCCAGTGCAGAATTGGGCCGAGGATGGGGATGTTCACGAATAGTGCGTCGAGGTCGAGGGCTATGATGAGGTATGTTTTATCGGGTTTGGATAAGGGGAAGATTAGGTGTGGTGCGGTTCGGGCTTCTTTTGGAGATGTTAGTGTTTGTTTGATCGGGAAGAGGGGGTGGCATTTCTCTCACTGGATTTCGGAACGTAGGCGGCATGTTTGATGGTTTCGTTGTCGAAACGCACTGTCAGTTCTTCGCCGGTTGAGGCCTGGACGGCGGTGAAGGCGCTCTGGTTGGTTGGCATGATGCTGATTCCGCGGAGGAGGAAGTTGAAGTAAGCCTCGATTGACGACGGAGACTTTTTCGAGGATTATATCGGCTACGAGAGTCGTTGCGATGTCTTTGTCATCCTGATCCTCCTGCATTATATCCGCAGCAGTGTCCGACCCCAAGGATGGCGCGATCCTAATGCAGTAATGGGGTCGCTACCGAAAGTGGTCTGAAATGCTCTGAATGAAGTCGCTTGCTTCAAGGACACTATTGCACTGAATGCATAGACGAAAGAGGCTGGCGAGTTGAAGAGGCCTTGGCACCAGGTCGATGCCGTAGTGTCACCGACGCCTGTCGAAAATTTCTATTGTCGCCCACATTCAGCAAGACCTGGAGCTGTATACATACATACATACGTACTTGCAGTCGTCACTGGCATCCAATCAAAGCTATCCGTCATCGTCTAGTGGCTAGGATGCAACGCTCTCATTGCGAAGAACCGTTGAGGCCGGGGTGTAAGTCGACGATTGAGGCGCAATCATGAGAGAAGCGAGTGCTAATGTGGCTGTAGTCAATTCCCCGTGACGGAAATTCTTTTTGCTATTGTACTGGCGTCTGGAGAGCGAACCCTTATACGGAAGCGAACTTTCATTTTGTTCGGAGGCATAGCTGGAAGCACCTATCTTCTGCTTTCTCTCTTGGAGCCGCCTTCGACATGAGGCTGTTCGAAGTCACAGATATGTCCGGAAACGGTCCTTTTTTTCATTATGCATAGTCTCGCTCGGGTGTTGGTGCATTGTCGTTCGTTCGTACTGTATATCATCCACGTTCGGCTGGTGATCACATGCAACCAAGATTCGAACCCACTAAGCTTCCAAGGAATTAGAATAGCCTTTTGGCAAGGTTCCAGATCGCGTCGGCTGGCAGAAAGGCAGCAATCAAGGCCGACAGTCCGTGGACAGTGTTCCAGATGCACTCACCCGCATTCCTGCGCCTCGAGATGACCGTGTTCCGCAGAGCAAGAGCTTCTGGGCAGTGCAGTGCGACAGCCCCGTGCTGGTCGGCGGACGCGGACGGGGATGGATGCTGCATACGCCTTTCTGAAAGAGCACGACGCGCAATGGCTCTCCGACACACTGAACGCGCGCGCACGATATCTACAGCAAGAGCAAGAGCAAGAGCAAGAGCAGAGGCGCCCTCACACGCGTGAGCATGAACACACCGTGGCTGCAGACCCGGGCATACCGCTATGGCAGCACCAGATATCGCACGGCCCCAGCGCGCCTGCTGGACCGTTCGATGTCACGGCCGACGATGTGGGCAACAGTGGCATCCTCACCGACCACATCAAGCTGTTGCGCGCATTTGACTGGGCCAAGACCGACTTGGGCCCAATGCCAGGATGGAGCGCAGAATTGAGGCGCATGGCCAATGTGTGTCTGCTGGACAACAAGGCGTGCGTGCTGTGGTGGGGTCCCCAGCGCATCGCCGTATACAACGAGGCATATTCCCACGTCGTGGCGCACAAGCATCCATCGGCGCTGGGCAAGACTGTGGAGCAGATATGGCCGGAGCTGGTCGATTTGCCGTATGGAAGAAGCTTCGATCTCGCAGACACCACCGGAGCCGCATCGTATGGAGAGCGGAAACCATTTTACGTCGACCGAGCTGGGTATCTGGAAGAGGTTTGGGCATCATGGGTCAATATCCCCATCCCGGGCCCCACTGGCAATCTAGGTGTCTTCAACACCGTCACCGATGTCACGCAGGAAGTCGTTTACACCAGAAGAATAGCGACTCTACAGACGCTCGACCAGCACACCGCCAACGTGGACACCGTTTCGTCGTACTGGACTGCAGTCTTGCGAGGTCTGGGCAAGAACGATCGAGAAGTGCCATTCGCAGCCTTGTACGGACCCGTCGGACATGATGCACGACGAGCTTCCGTGCAGTCGACATCGACCTCACAAGACGCCGATGCGGGGTCTGTCTCCGACCACAATTCCATCTTTTCAGGCACAGAGTGGACGATGGAAGGCGTGATCGGCGTGCGACCGCCTCCCCACCTCCATGGCTTACCTCAAAGGGTCGACCTCGATTCTGGCTGCGAGATACTGTCGCCGCTGTTCAGAGAGTGTATGGAGTCCCAGAAATTGATCCTGCTCAGCATCGCCGACGGAACCATGTGTCCCGTCCTTCAAGAAGCCGCCAAGTCGCGCGCGTTCGATGGGGACCAATGCAGAAACGCAGTCATCATGCCCATCTGGTCGAAGTATCAAGAGCACCGGTCTGGCTTTCTCATACTGGGACTGAATACGAGGCGAGAATACAATGCTGCATATCAACAATTCATTCGACTGCTGCATCAGCAATTGACCACCTCACTTTCTACCTTGGTCATGGCAGAGGACGAAGCCCGACGGAATCGCGTGGCAGCCAGACTTGCTGCTCGTGATCGCATTCGTCTTGTGGAGTCTCTCGCGAAGAGCCAGCAGGTAGCCGAGCATAGCGAAACTCGTTTCCGAAGCATGGCAGACTTGGCACCTATCGGTATTTTCGAGTTTGACACCAAGGGTAGCCTGCTGTACGCGAATCAACGCTTCCTCGAGATGACGAACTGCGCTATCGACAAGGCGCCAGACATACCATCGCTGAACCTGGCACTTCACGAAGACGACCGGGCATATTCTTTGCAGCAATGGAGCAAGCTGTTGTCTGGAGAGCAGGTATCATTCGAGGCAAGACTGAACAGACCGTTCATAACTGATGAGGTATACGGTGGAGAACGCATGACGGGTGAGACCTGGGTGCTCACCGCTGCATATGCCATGCGTGACGATAATGACGGGCCTCACGGCGATGGAGTGAAGGGTGTGTTTGGATGTCTTGTCGACATTAGCCGACAGAAATGGATGGAGGGCTTCCAAGAACGACAGGTGAAGGAACAGCTCGAACGACGACGACAGCAGGAGAACTTTATGGACTCGACGAATCACGAAGCAAGAAACCCACTCGCAGCGATCACGTTATGCGCCGACGACGTGTACACGACAGTAAACCGCCTTCTCTCACAATCAGCGAATGGGCAGCTCACGCTGGATCGTGATAATGCCATAGCTATCCTGGAGAGTGTCGAGACCATCATGACTTGCGCAAAGCACCAGAAGCGCATCATAGACGATGTGTTGACGATCAGTAAACTTGACAGCCAGATGCTAACAGTAAATCCTGCGCCGATGAGACCTACAGATGTGGTCACACAGGCGCTCAAGATGTTCAAGGGCGAGCTCCAACGAAGCGATGTGGAGATGCAGTATTCGATCGGATCCTCATATCAGGCCTGCGAGGTCAATTGGGTCCTGCTCGATTCTACTCGCTTCCTTCAGATCCTGGTCAACCTTCTCACAAACGCGATCAAGTTCACGAAACACGAGAGTTCGCGAAAGGTGGTGGTGCGACTAAATGCAAGCCCTGTGCGGCCGACGGATGCAGATTGTGGTGTGCGCTTTGCACCGACGACGTCGAGAATGACCTCGGTGTCGTCGGAAGAGGACTGCGTATATTTGTGCATCACCATCAAAGACACGGGACCTGGCATCGTTGAAGAAGAATTGCAGAATCTGTTCCAGCGATTCCAGCAAGCCTCGCCGAAGACATATGTAAGGACGGGAACATTTCTGACCTGATCCTCTTACTAACTCTTTCCTGCAGGCACAGTATGGAGGTTCAGGTCTGGGCTTGTGGATCTCAAAGGAGCTCTGTGCGAAGCTGGGCGGCCAGATTGGTGTTGCTTCTAACACCGCAGGCTTCCTCCAACCCAGTCAAGAGAGCGGCTGCACATTCTGCTTCTACGTACAAGCACCTCGCTGTGCCGCACCGCGACCCGAACGACCAGCCCCACAACGACAGTCTCCTGGAGATGACTCTCCTAAAGCCATCGATGCGAATGGAATCTCGATGTTGGACGAGGGCATTGCCGCAATTCAAGCGCACCTCGAATCACCTCCCACTTCCGCGAAAGATGAAATCATGGTCGACCAGCCGAAAGTGTCCTCGGATGCCACAGACATGAACGTGCTCATTGTAGAAGACAATCTCGTCAACCAGCGCGTCATGCGCAAACAACTCACTCGAGCCGGCTTCCGAGTAACAGTCGCGAATCACGGTAGGGAAGCGCTCGACTGTCTACATCCTGCCGGCACCAATCCAGCCAAAATCGGAGTCGTGTTGATGGACATCGAAATGCCGGTGATGGGAGGACTGGAATGTACTCGCATCATTCGACTACGAGAACGGGAATCACAACGGACATCTCGAATGCCCATCTTAGGCGTGACGGCGAACGCACGAGCAGAGCAGCAGGCCGAAGCTATAGACGCGGGTATGGATCGAGTGGTGACAAAACCTTTCCACATGTCGGAATTATTACCTGCCATAGAGCTTCTGAGGAGGAATACTGCATAGCACATCATGTTTGATGATGATTTGATAGATGAATAGATGGATGACGGCTACATCCCGTCCTACTAACTTAGTCCCCCGTAGGACAAAAATCATAATTCCCATTGATATTATTTCCCCACCATTGCGGGAACGGATGGGATTTCCCTCCAGCTCCGAAGACCGCGAAGGATAAGATGAACAAGCAGGAAAAGACCGCTCCATCCATGGCTCCGGTGATGATGTAAGAGTAATCTCGGAAAATCCTGGGTCGGTAGTTTCGGAGGAAGTATTGGACGTACAAGCCCGCGAGGATTTGGCTGAAAATCACGCAGGTTTGCGATTGGTTGTAGGGAATGAATCCGGCGAACTGGATGAGTTGGGGGAGATTGAGGTCGTAGGTGGAGAGGCGGCCGACTTTGGGGACGAACTTTGCAACGATACACGTCAGTGGGATCTGAAAAAGTCGAGGATGTGATTCACTCACGTGGGCAAAAATTCTATGGATAATCACCGCTCCTGAACCGATCGCTATGCCGACGGGAACCATGTAGTATTCTGCGCCGACTTTGTAGAGGTATCGGGCTAGAGCCCAGCCTGTAGCGTTGGTGTTGTAGGCTTGGAAATGGGCGCCGGACCAGGAGGAGTTGCCGTTGCTGTCGCGGAGGAGGTCGGCGTTGGAGTTTACGATGGAGATCATGACGACGTAGTTGATGAAGCCGCCTAGAGGAGACATGAGTGAGGAGTTGGTGATTGTTAGGAGGGTTGCATACCGAAGATGGTGCCCCAGCATTGGGTCAAGAACATGACGCGAGGTGGAATCTTGACTGCGGAGGTATCAGCGGGTGAAGGTGGAGTTCGTTTGGAGTGATCTGGCTTACGATAGTCGCCCATCTTCAAATCCGATGATAGTTGTATAGTGCAGGAGACAACGTTATGTGACCAAGCGGCGAAGTACATGTTGCCGACGGGACGTTCAGGAATCAGCAGACCGGCCACCATCTTGGACATGTTGTTCGTCGCTATGCCGTTGCCGTAACGTGAATAGAGGATGTTGCTCTGGAAATAGTTGTCAGCAAGAGGAGCAGAAGACTGGGACTGGTTCTATCTCACGAAAGGTGCCATGATTGATCCAATGATCAATGCTACCACATACGCCCAGACGGGTAAAGTGATGTCCTCCTTGATGACGACGATGAGTCCCAATACAAAGCTGATGATCAAAGTAATTACGAACCACCACCATGGCGTTTCTCTGTAGTTCTTGTTCATATGGGCGTGATGGGGATCGTTGTACTCGCTCTTGCGACTTGACTTGTATGCCCTCCATGCATCGCCGCCCCAGAACAGGGCGACATGTGTGATGAGAGCACCAATGGCAGCGTTGCCGATCAACAATCCATAAGCAAAAGTACCGGCAAGCTTGGGAAGGCCGTACTTCGCAAGCTCCTCGTGGTTCAGTGATCCGCCTGCGAAAAGTTTGGTGATGGGATACTTGGAGCCATCCGGCAGAAGCTGCTTCGTAGACATGAATGGCAAAGACCTTGCACCCCATGCACCTGTGTAGTAGATCGCGACCATGGCGATAAAGCAGACGAAATATCCGAAGGCCATGTGAAGCTGGAGCGTAAGTGGAAGCGACGTCTGGAAAGAGGTGATGTATTGCCAGTCGAATGAAAGTGCAAACAGCCCGAGACCTTCGTTGTTCGTGGCTCCTCCGAACAGATTCGTGAGCGTCTTGGCCTTTGAACCTTTCGCGTTCTTGGATGCGAGGCAGGGTATGGAGACAGAGTTGAGCCACGGCCAGACATATGCTGGGAAAAATTCGAAGAAGAACATGCCACCAAAGCAGTACCAGAACCAGCGAAGGGGCTTTGAATTCCTCACAGACTGCCAGTGTAGCCCCTGAAGCGTCTTCACTGTTGGCAAGCAGCTCCAGTAGACGGCTTCCACATGCCAGACTGTTATTGGCTGAAGCAAGCCACAAAGTCCGTAGCCGAACAGACCAAGCGAGATCGTGGTGCATATCACAGTTGTGGCCGTCAACGGCATGTCGTAGAAGAGTTTCTGCGCTGCGAAGACTTCCACGCTGGCACAAGCGGCTGATGCGGAAGTCGCTGTGATTGAGCATATCGCGTGCTCTTTCAGCGTCCAAGGTCCAGGGTTGATGAACGATGCGATTGAGATCCAGAGTGGAGGTTTCCCGGGCAAGTTCTTGCTTTGCCATCGAGCCAGATGAAGATCGCCTCGCGGGAATGCGAACGCCCATCCAATCCCCAGAAAATATGCAATGAGGACGATGAAAGTGCCCTGGATGGACACCACGGTCGGCTTGAACTATTCTCATTGTCAGCATCATGGTCGCTGCTCTCCTTGGCAGCAGAAACACACGAGATAGATCTGATTCATCACAGCTTGAAAAGCGGCGAGCCCTGTGGCCAGAAAGAGTGATCGGAACGTGAGGGCTGGATCTCTGTCGTCGCGCATGGGCAGGAGATACGCGGCGGCATCTTCTCCAGTGATGATGATGACATCTTCGTCGACGAATTCGTTGCCGAGATTTAGGGACTCTGAGCTTGCTGCGCCTGGGGAGATCTTTTCGTCTACGCTCGATATGTTCTCATTCGCAGGATGATTCTTGTCGACCGTCGCCATACCTCAAATGCTGTGGCAGAAAGCAACGTCGAGAGAACTCAATTTTCGGGCGGCGAGAGCTTTTGCTACGTCCTCGGGGCAATGGCTTCCATGTCGCTCACTGCATGGTTGCGATGCTACTTTCGTTATCTCCCAGTCCCAGCAGCCACGAAGTGTTATATTCTACCGTTACAATGGTCCCGCCTTGCGTGCCCTATCGTAGACGCCCGCTTTATCGCAATACTGGCTCTGAAAGGCGTGCTGGACGCCGGGACGTCCGAAGTATCTTGCTGAAGTATCTTGCTCCCTGGAAGCACATGGCTGGGCTTGTAACTGCCGAGGAGCTTCGCATCTTTGTCGCGTGGCAACCAGCTATGGCAAGCCAGCGAAGCTCAAGAACAATCTCGGAGAAGCATTCTGCCAGTCTGCCACTGTGCTTCTTGTGCAGGCCTGCGAGCCTAGGCCTGCATGTTGCTATTTGTGGCGATATCGCCGAGCGCAACACAGAATGCGAAAGGTTTCGCTTGCAATCTTGCTGTATCGCTATTGCTATTCATGCTCTTAGGCTTTCGTATAGTCGCTCAGGCGGGCCGGGCGGCCTGGTTCTATCAGTCCAGGGGTGTCCCGCATTCTGGTGACGAGATACGTGCCGGACCATTGCACGTACCTAGAAGGTGAGCAGAGTAGTCTGTACATGTGGTAAGCAGGCAAGTGGGAGCACTCCTAGTTCATATATAGTCACGAGAGACACGGAGTTCGGAGTTCAAGGGTATAGCAGGCTATGAGCTTACTTGCTGCAAGATCCATCCTTTTCATCCTCTCCATATCCACCTTCGTCTTCTGAGACCTCTCCTAGCATTTCAGCAAGGGCTGGATCAAGAACGCCGCAGTTCACTACTGGATTGTGCCTCAATCGAAGAGAGATGCTTCTCTCCCCCGCCGCCTCTTACGCGGCCAAAGCAGCTTGCTTTTGCTCTGTAAGACGACAAAAATTAATGCACTGGACCAAACAATATGTTGCAATGGGCTCGACAACTTACTCTCTTGTCTTGCCTTCATTCTGCTCTTCTTCTCTTCCCGGCTGTCCTTGTATTGCTGCGCTTGTCTTTGCAATGCCTTGACGTCCAACTTTTCGGTACCTGCTGCTTTTGAGCCAGGCTCATTGATTTCCATCGTACCACTTAGCAGCTTGAGTCCCGTTTCGAACGACTTCCAGTCTTCGCCTCCAAGCGGCCCAGTCTTTTGCCTTTGCTTCATGCGAAGTACCGTCAGGTGCAGCTCGCGCATGAATTCGAGGACGTCGTCGCTGAATTGGGCACTCAGATCGTGAGATACCGTAGGGCGTAGAGGGCTCTGGTTGACGCGCTGAAGCGCCGCGCGCACATTGCCCAAAGCTTCCTGCTTTGTCACATCTTCTTTGTTCCGCGGTCGACCAGGAGCGGCGGCAGCTGGTGTGTTGTTGTTCGCGCGACTTCGGATTTCGAATGTCGTGTGAGCGCTACGCAGTGCAGTGCTCAGGTTGTAGAAGGTTGTAGAAGTCGGCGTTGGGGAAGTCCTCTTGATCGACTTGATCCGCCATGGTAATGGCTTGATTCGGCTTCGCCGGCTTGGCAGGTCTGAACGGAGACAGTGCTTATCGTTGTCCTTGTATTTGTCGTCGTTCAGTTCAATACGCGAGTTGCCAAGACCAAGACCGTACCTGCCAAGTTAGGCGAACCTCACATGCATGCAGGGTCGAGCTGCAGCTGGCGCCTTCCGTATATTTTGGATGCTTCACCGCCACACACACAAAGCTATGTATCTTTTCATTCTATCCGGGGTTGCGTCAGCCCACTTCACCCCTCGCCCTAGCTCGGGGATTTAAGCCATGCGTAAAATCGCTTTTTCTTAGTAGGCTATACGTAAAACTCGATAATAGTAATGTTATAGGGCACATATAGTAGGAAACTGAATATAAGTGCAATAAGGGTTAAGAAGCAGTAGATTTCCGGCATATTGGCGACTAAATTGCGACCGTAGGCGGTTAGAATAGACCAAAAGTCGGCCTCCGCGTATACCTCGCGTTAACTATATAGTCAATTACTTTACTAGTCGGCCTATATGTCTATTATGTAACTGCTACCTCTTCTTGCTAAGTGAATAGTTAACTGCTGTATCTACTGTCTACCTCTTCTAATTTAATAGGGTTGTTCTTGCTACTAGCGACCGCGCCTTTATAACGGTTCGATTTCTTCGGAGCGTAGTAGAAATAGCGCTTGCTTTAGACGGACTCGTAGCGGCGGCGAGGAGGTACTAAATAAGGCTATATTACAGTATATACAGTATCTTTATTAAGCAGCGCCTCGTCTTGTTATAACTAGTCCGATCGAGTATTAGGCTCTTACGCGAATAGGCTATTTAGCAGTCGCCTCGGCTTAACGGTCTATACTAGAATATCGCCTTCTTCGTAGTCGTAAGTGCGAGTCGGCAGTAGTAGTATCCTTGTCTAGCTCTAATAGTAGCTAACGTCGCCGCTATTAGTTATATTAGTGCCGCGCTTGTAGCTATTAAGAATAGTCGCATATAGATCGCCGGTCTTCTTTAAGGTATTGTTGTCGGCAGTAAGAAGCCGCCTATCGAAGACACGCCGTAGCGGCTTATCGATAGACTAAAGCTCGACGTCTGTCTACTTAGTCTTACTATTGTTATTAAATACGATACGGAAGGCCTTACTGCACTTAAGCCGATATAAGCGTACCCTCTCGACGGCATTCTGTACCTCTTATAGCATCTTGCGGCGGTTATTATTAGCTAGGTTCTTGTCTTGTTATATAACTTGTAAGCGCAATTCATTCGCCTTAATAGCACCTACCCTTATAAGCCGATTAGCCTACTCCTTCTGTCGCTTCTTTGCTCGCTTAATAATGCTCGTAGACTAGTATTTACGCTTGTATTCCTCGCCTTTACAAATAGCCGCGTTAACTAAGATAGTATAGGCCTCTTCTACTTGCTTCGTAGATAACGAGGAAAATAGGTTAAATAATAGCAATATAGGATCGATACCCTACGGGGCTAGTTTTAGATAAGAACGTCGGAAGTCCTTACGAGCTTATATAGCACTGCGAGACGCCTTAATCGTACGAGGGCTAGTCGTAGTATTAAGGAGCTATTGCGGCAGTTCGGGTATTAGTGTTCGCTAAGGTAGCGTAGGGGGTAACGATAGTATGCCCTAAGCAATTAAGTTTTCGAGATCCCCGAGGTAATAGCGACTATTAGCGTAAGCCTAGCCTTCTAGATCGATAATAGCGGGCTCTACGGAACGTTGTTGCTTAACCGATGCGATATACTCCTGCTAAGCGACCTCCGCTATTGCTAGCGATTCATTATAGCGGGCTTCTTCCTATGCTAATTCGCCCTCGATTGTTTGCTAGTTCTAGTTATAGTTAGTAGCTCTATACTAATCTCGAATATGCCTACAAGGGACCTCCCTATTAATTAGGAATATGCCTGTCTTCCGGAATGCTAACCTTATATTGTAAGAGGTAAACGTCTTACTACGAATAGCCGAGAGCGCCTCGATAAACTCAGGTATTCCGAATTCACTAATACTACGGTATGTAGCCTCTAAAACTGCTTACCTATGCCTTAGTTTATACACCTAGAACAGGACAACGTCTAAAGGCTGCATAAAATAAGAGGTATATAGTTGTAGGCCCTATAATTAAATATTATAGCGCTTTGCAAAGGCCGCAAACTCCTTAAAGCAATAGGAGCCGTAATTATCGTATAGGAGCACCCTCTATTCTTCTAGGTCTTTAGGCCTTGTCTTCCGCTTAAACTAACGGATATAGTGCATTGCAGTATCGTTAGTTATATAGCTAGACTCGTTAACAGTAATTAAGAAGTTGTCTTTGCCTAAGAACGAGGTATAGTTAGCAAGCGACGTTGCCTCGGCAGCGGACTCGGACTCGGAAGTAGCAATAGCAGTAGTAATAGACTTACCTTCCTTCGGCACCTAACGTTCTTAGACTATTATACCTTTAACAATTAACTAATAGTCTATTACCTTACCGAAGGCGTTAACGGTCTCGACGACAGTAATATACGTACGGTTGCTATTATACTCGGTCTAGGCGCGCCGCTTCGTATCTATTATAACGACATACTTATTGCTACTAATTCTAATCCGGAAGCTAGTTTCATCGAAATTCTACACATTCCGCGGCTTTATATTTAGTCGCTTAATTATCGCCTTAAAGCGGTTAAACTAGCTCCTTATCGCAGAAGGGTCGTAAGCCTCCTTCCGCTATACCTTAATTGGTTTAGACTTGACCTTGCTAAGTCTATAGCGCTTAAGAAAGCGGTCCGCCTAATCTACGCTAAATAGTAGTATTATATCCTTCGAGACCCCCTCTAGCAGCAGGCTTACTAGCATCTCTATCGCTACGATAACGATTAACGCTACCGGTAAGAACATGCCTATCGCGTCCCTCTCTCGATAATAATCCGCTAGCGCTAGCTCTTAAGAATGGTCTAGTTTAGTATTAGTCTACGGTCGACTAAATAGCGATCTACGGCCTCTTAACCGCTAGTAAATACGAGAATATAGGCTAGTTGCCTTCTTATCCTTATAAAGCGCTCGAATGCTAACCTTCTTGTCCGATTTAGCCTCTAATTCGTAATACCTCGAAACGACGCGTTCTACTACCCTCTCTGCCCTCTCTGTCTCGGTTAACCGCTCGGCACGCACCCTCTTTACCTTTTTGCCCTTTTTACGCCCTATACCGAGTTTTCTATATAATCCGTATAGTAGAAGAGAAGAAACAGGAGGAACACGAGGAATACACGCTTTAGAATGAGGTAGACGCGCCTGCTAAGGATTATATAAGGAAATGGCGATAATAAGGTCTATAGCTACTATATACTCGGATAAACTCGCTAATATAATATCTAGACTCGCGGTTTTATACCGCATATAACTAGACATCCGAATAGGACTAGAAACTACTACTTTATCGATATTTACGTATAGCCTACTAAGAAAAAGCGATTTTACGTATAGCTAGAATCCCCGCGATTAGCGGGCGTAAAGTGTGTAACGGAACCCTAGATACGCGCCGCGTAACGCAACGCAACACAATACAATATAATACAATATAATACAATATAGTTACTAGTATATATATAGAGGTTAGTATTAGTCCTTATCGTTATCCTTATCGTCTAGCACATTTCTATAAGCTACGTTAGTTATACTAGTCGTATAGTAGAAGAAATAGGGTAAAAGGAATATTATTCTAATAACGTACCTTTTTTATATCTATAGTCCGGATAGCTATAGGACTATTAGTCCGAATTGCCTTTTAGACTAAATCCTTCCTACGCCGCTTCGTCCTCGCTATTTCTTTTACTAGTATTTATAGATAGGGTTTTCGGATCGACTTAGGGTTCTCGACGCTTCGTAGACTTTACTACTATATACTATTTATATCTATATCTTATTAGTAATAGGCTATAGGAAGGAATATATAGAGCAAAATACTTAGTCTTTTAAGTTAGATCCGCTACCTTTACTAATCGCGAGCCTCTATCTTCCCGAGACCTAGAGAAAATTAGTATAGTTCGTCTTTATAGCCTCGAGGTACTCTTTATAGTTGCTATAATTAACGAGTTTCTATAATAGAGGTATATTAACGGAATCGGATTTAAATCGCATAAGATTAGTTTCGGAATAGATTAACGTTAGCAAAAGCCATTCCAGCAGGGGAAAGGAATAAGTCGAGCTTATTTTAGTCGACGCCGCGCACGAACCTTCTCGGCCCCATCCGATTGGTCAATCGGTGGTCAGCTCGGCGATTTTGGTGGTCAGGCCTTCTGTATTCCCGAGCTGATTTCGATCACTGAGAAGATGGCAGCGATGGCATCGAAGCCTCCACCCGGTCGTTCCAGCAAGAAACTTGAACCGCACCAAGAATGGATCACGGAGCGCCACCAAGCCAAGGCGACTGTGGACGAGATCATGGTCGAGCTCATGATCAAACACCATCTCAAGATTGGGCGCTCGACTCTGAAGAAGCAGATCGCACGATGGGGCTTGCGGGTGCGCCGGGCGAAATGGGAAGACTCGCAGGCTCTGCGTAGGCACGTCAAGCACTGTTTCGACCGACTGCAGTTGACCGATGAAGCGGCAAGACTGGACCTGCAGAAGCACGGCTACGACATCGCTCCGACTCGACTGGCCAAATTGCGCAAGGAAATGGGCATGTACAAGCGGACGGAGAAGGAACAGCGGCCGCTGCAGGAAGGTCAAGTGGAGGAGATCCTAAAGAAAGAATTCGAAGATCCGCGGGTCCGTGACATGTCTTTGAAGAAGCTGCACAAGTACCTGCATGCGAAGCACAACATCTGGGGCAGGGACAGATTGTATCACATTGCGAAGAAGCTTGACCCGGAAGGACCAGCTCGGAGGTTGAAGATTCAGATGAAAGAGACGAGAGCGAAGCAGAGGACGGCAGAGCTCCGAAGACAGCAAGGCGGTCAGGAGGAGGAGGATGAGGAAGAACTTCCGCGCGAGCCAGATGTGTCTCCACAGCAACCTGCTCAACCTGCTCAACCTGGACCAACATATCCGCTGACCAGCGATGCCGCTAACTACGATCCTGCCTTGATCTACAGCCAGCCTTATGGATATCATCAAGCCTTTTCCTGAGCCCGGCCTACATGTGACGAAAGCAATTCGCCTTTGACATCCTGCGCATCGTCCATCTCGACACCGGCATCACTAGCGAAACGCTCAACAGGCTCTTTTGGCCTTTCCCAGCCCAGCGTCTCTTGCATGATATTGGAGTCTGGCTCGAATGTCTGCTTACCCTCCTTCTCATGCATACCTGCATCAGCATCAAGCTCAGCACCATGATCATCGCTTTTGGGAGCTTCATCTTCCGGTGCAGATTGTCTTCGTTGGAAGGTAAGCAGCACGAGCATCAACAGTCCGCCCACGCACCCACTCGACCACGATCACCGCTACAGTACTTCTTTTCAGCATCAGCATTGGAGGAGTTGGTAGCAGCAGCACCGCCTGTGATTGCGGTGGACCGGGAGAAGCGATTGAGGAAGCCAGGCTGCTGGCGAGACTGGTCACGATGAATGAGTATGTTCCCGAGTGAGCTCGGACAGTGTAATCTGCATCCCTGGCGAGACAAGTAGTCACTCCATCTCTCAACCATTGCGGTACTTGTGGCCACTCCTGACTAGCGCATAATTTCTGTTCATCAAAGCACATCGAGTCCTACGAATTGCATGTGCATTCGCAAGGCCCAGGACAGTCTGTCACTGTGCCATAGCTTTTCGTGCACTCCTGCCGAAGAGAGTCGACTCGTTGCACGTATGACTGGAATGTGCTTTGCACCGAGCGTGTGCAGAGTCCAGTGTATGTTTCGAAATTGCCTCACCTTGGCAAGCATCACTAGCATCACTTCGTTTAGCTCACTGGCCTCAGCAGCACACCGCGTTGTCGTACAGAGCGTGTTCTCCATCCACTTCAATTGTGAGAAGCTAATGGATCTGTAAGGTTTGAAGTGCGGTCGATGGAGCATGCCACCACCAGCAATGAAAGTACGAGGGCGTTCCCATCGGTATCCCACATTGGAATCCGTCAATCATGCAAGCATACTGGCACCTATGCGTGCTCGCCATGTGAGGGATATGGAGTGGCAATCATATCTGCCAAGCACTCGGAGACTTGGCAGAGCGGTGGTCAACATGTCGCAGATAGTAGGACAGTCGCGTCGCGATAAATCTCACGCCGAGAGCGCACATCATGAACAAAGATACGGCATCTTGACATACTGTTCCTCTTCTTTCACAGTTCGTCTAACAGAAATCGCGTCGCGTTCTGTTTGGCGGGGCTCGCTTGTCGCGGCTGCCCCCGCATACTGTGGAACCCTTCCAACTTGTCAGTACGGTCCGCAGAGCCGCCTCCTCTCTTGAGCCGCACAGGGGTGGGCAATAGGGGCACTTTTACGTGGTTTTTATCGTGTTTCTTCCTAACTGTCGTCGTCGAATAGAGGATAATCGTGTGTTCGAGCCCCGTACGCGTATTCTAACCATTTCCGAGTGCTATACTACAATAATGCCGCTAAGAGAGACACGTACGACTGCTAGCAAGCCGCTAGTACGATTAGACGACGAGATAAATAACTCTACGCTAAAGAAGAAGGTAATCCGCACTCTCGAGAAGACTATTAGTCCGCCGCTAATAAGAAGGAATGCTAATACGGCTTAGTAGGCAAAGGGTAGCTCGAAGTCGAAGAGTAGGTCTTCCGCTAGCAAGAAGAGCAAAGCGACTACCGACCTAATCGTTAATCTACTAAGCAAGGAGACCGTAGCGGCGCCGGCAGAGGAGACTAGCGGTGTAGAACTACCAAAATCGGCTGTTTCTTCTTCCGCTTCGACCTCTATATCCTCCTCTTTTAATGCTACGTAGGAGGCGGCTACTACTACTAGCAGCTAAGCCGCTCTCGCTACAGGCAACGTTCCTATTACTTAACCTAGCTCTTTCTCGGACGAGACCTTCTATTATAAAGGACAGTAGACGCTGTTTAATATAACGAAGAAGGGCGCGGTACGGACGATAGCAACGAAGCTAGTAAAGTTCTTATCGGCGAACAAACAAGAGGCTTAGAACGTACATTCGTAGGCAGCGAAGATAGCGAAGTTGAACGGCTTAGCGGCAATTAATCGTATTGTTATCCGTGCTAGAGCGGACGGTTAGAAGACGGCTTTTACTAGCGATTAGCATTAAGCTAGAGATAATATTAATAGCGATAAGGTCTATAGCGAAGCGATAGAGACTAGCAAGGAATTAGCGCTTACCTCGCGGAAGAATGTCTTTATTAATATCGACTTTTCTTATCGAAGCCTAAAGCGATAGTAGTAGCTGTGCCTTTAGGCGCTAAGAAGTTAGTTAAACCGGCTTCTAATCTAACCTCAATTCAGCTTGCTAACGCCGGCGTTGTAACAGCTAAATTAGAGGCTTAGAAGCGGTAGGACTATTATATTATTAGAGACTTCTTATATAGTTGTAAAGACTGTCTAAATTATTATAAGGCTAGTAAGCATGCCTGCTTCCGCGATAAGGCCTTAAAGGACTATAGTAAGAACTACTTTCCGTTTTACGAAGCTACTATAATTAAGGCTTACAAAGCTATCTCTTCCGGCGAGTAGAAGCGTAACGAGGTAACTAATAAGCTAGACAATAGGATGCTAGTAAGGATCGAGGTAATAGTAATTAAGAGGAAGATTGAGTTGCAGTTCTAGAAAGGCGAGGTTAAGAAGATAAGGGCTCGGCGTAGCAGTAAGAGCGACTCGCCTCGTAAACTAGCTATTAGTGTCGGCTCTTAACCTATTATCCTTAATTCCTTCGGCGACGAGATAAGGCACTTCTTAGATAGCAAGCTGCGTAGATCTAGTGTAATTCCTAGTACTCCGTATAAAACACCTGCTCGCGCTCTTGCTAGAACTAGTTTACGTAACCCTCCGGCGATGCCTCGCAATATTATATAGTCCTCGAAGCTAACTGTCGAATTCTTCTAGTAGGTCGGCTTGTAGCGCGGATTTCAGGATTGCGACGAATTACGCCCGTATATCGCTTATTTCGTGTCTTCCGGATAGACGCTAGAGACTATCTGCAATTTAACAAAGGACGACTAGCCGGCGGCACTTAATACAGTAGATAGAATAAGGTTAAGGTTGAAGAAAGCTATCGTCGAGTTTATAAGGAAGAAACAGGATGAGATTATAGCGGCGGAAGCAGCCGCTACTAAGGAGGGAGAGAATTTCTAAGAATTCTTAGCTTCGTTTAGGCTACAATCGCTATATATCTACAATATATATAAACTTGTAATAAGCGGGAGATTCTTGCGGTAATAGCACTCATTTTAGCCTATATATAATTAATTAATATAATGCGTTGGTTGTAGAATACTAAGCGCGATAGGCAAAGCTAGCGTTCGAACATATTTATTTAAATCTCTCCGAGCGGCGCTTGCCGCGCGCTAGTGCGATTAGTTACATTACTCGAAATCTTCGAAGTCTACCTCTTATTCGCTATCTTCCTCGTTGTCTTCCTCAAATACGCCCTTACTATTATAATACACTATCGACGAGTCGTTAATTATCGACGGTAAGGTATTCTAAGCCTATTCTATCTATTAGGACTCTTCCGGGTCGAGCGCTATTATATTCTAAGCCGCTCTAGCGGTATGTTCGAATTCGGCTAGATCGTACGGAATATCGACTCTATCGACATTATATCTAGCATAAGCGAACAACCTACGCGCCCTATTGCCCCTATACTTATACAAACACTACAGCAAGTAATCCTAAAAGCCTACAAACTTCGGCAGCTTATCTCTGTAATTTTTGATAACCTTCTTTAGCAGATTGAAGCTGCCCTCGATCGGGTTTAGATCCGGCGAATATAGCGGTAGAAATTCGAGGTAATAGCCGGCATCTAGTATCGCCTATTTGACCCTCGCTCTATAGTAGATACTAGTATTATCTATAACAAAGATCATCGGCGGACTATCCTTAAGGCAAGGTAAGACTTGTTTAGTTAGCTAGAGGTAGAAACGATTACTATTAATCGATCCTTAGTAAACACGAGTATAGGGCAAGTAGCCGTATAGCGTAAAGGCCGGCAATACTGACTATCTAACTTCTCGCTTCGCATACTATATATCTATACAGTTCAACCCCTTCGGAGACTATCTATACTTGCGCTAACTAGTCTTCTAATTACTAGTAGTCTCGTCGATAAACACCAATCGATCTACCGGCTATTTTGCGTACCTAATCGTCTATAAAGCCCTTAAGAACGGGTTGCGTTCCTTCGCTTCGCGCCTTACCTCTTTGCGAGTTAAACCTAGCTTCTTCTTTAATACCCTCGTTAGCAACCGCGGCTTAATTACTATGCTATCGCTATCCTCCGAGATAGGCCTTAATCGTACAAACTCGTCTTAAAGAGCTTAGATCATTTCTAAGAAGTATGCGTCCGGACGGTCTATAAGAAAGCTACGTAGGAAGTCTATTTCTTTAGCTAGCATTATCGTATAGTGTGCGTTACGAGAAGTGCTAGTTTGAGGCATATATAACTCGCTAAATAGTCGCTACTTAGCTTAATAACGATAGACTATCCGTACGGACAATAGCAACTTCGAGAATGCTAGGACCTACTTAGGAGTTATGCCTTTGCTAAAGAGATTAACTAATTGGCCTTACTAGTCGAGATTAATACGTGCCTTCTTAACTATAGCGGCAACAACGATTAGTAACACCTTAGAAGGGTCTATACTACTAGAAAACCGTCGATACGATATCTACGATATATTAGAGGACTGGAGGCATTAGAGGGAGAACAAATAATTCAAAAACCACCAAAATAGCGGTGTGGTTCCTCTCTCGGAGGTGCAGGGTTCTCCCCGCACCGGCACTAACAAGTTGGAAGGGTCACACAGTAGATCCGAATCCGAAGCTTGAAGCTTCAAGGTCGAAGCTGCTGCGCGCGAGCTTGGCGAATCGATTCTGTACCTCTACACCACATCACCATCACCATGGCGCTTCGAAACCGCGGCAACGATCTGCCGCCGCCGACATTCGAGTTGGAGTCGTGGTCGGCGAACTACGACGGACCGCTTCTTCCCTACCGCCTCCTCCACATCGCACTCCGCTGCAAAGACCTCTCGAAGCAAGCATTAACGCTGGCAGTCGGCTACGCGAAGAAGGGCAAGGACGTCCAGCTCTACAACCGCCTCACAGATGCCGCCGCCAACCTCGGTATCTCCGATCTCGCGAAGCAAGACACGGCATGGGCATCACGGAGGGATGAGGAGAACCGGCGAGAGCAGAGCCGGCTGGAGAGCGAGCTGCGAGGATACAAGAACAACCTCATCCGCGAGTCGATCAGGATGGGGCAAGAAGATCTGGCGACACATCTCCTCCTCACTGGCGGTCCCGTTCCCGACCCAACCAGCCCGCAATCGCTCAATTCCTCAGGCTACAATGCTGCTTATAACCAATTCGGCAAGATGCGCGACTACTGCACCACTCCGACCCACATCAACGCCATGAATTTGCGTTTGCTCTACACCTCTGTTCTCCAGACTGTCTCCGCCCAGCTTCGAGGCAACTCTGCCACCATGCATCTGCAGAGCGTTTTAATCAACGGCGTTCGCCTGCGTTCGAGCGGCGTCAAGGAAGAAGAGCAGTCGAAGTTGACCCCACTCATGTGCGTCTCGGTCGGCATCGCCAACCTCGGTCAAGGGCACTACACCGAAGCGGCAAAGAGCTTCCTGGCGACTTCATTTGACTACCACAACCTGGGTCCCGTCCAGAACATTGACTTTGAGCGGTCAGTGGCCAACGCGAACGATGTGGCCATCTATGGTGGACTTTGTGCACTGGCGACGATAAGCAGAGATGAGCTCGTGGAACATGTGCTCGGAGGACCTTTCCGTGCTTTCCTTGAACTGGAACCACATATGCGCAAAGCGATCGGCCTCTACACGACAGCCAAGTACCAAGCTTGCATCAACACACTTCAGCGTTACTACAGCGACTGGAATCTCGATGTTTTTCTGGGCGCGAGAAGTCCCAACACGATTGGCTCACATGTCGACTGCTTATTTGCTAGGATCCGCGAGCGCAGCATCACAGCCTACTTCTCGTCCTTCTCCGAAGTCAGCCTTGCCTCCCTCGCCTCGACCTTCCCACCTCTCTCGACCGCGCCAGATGCGATGGAGGTGGAAGTACTCAACATGATCGAGAATGGCACACTCAATGCGCGATTAGATGTGGTCAATGGCGTCCTCATCGCGCCGCAGAAAGAGATCCGGTCGGCTACACATCTGGCTGCGAAGACTGCAGCGGAAGAGGTGGAGCGCACGCTACTGTTGCGTCTGCACAAGGTGAATATGACACTGGCTGGGCTCGAGATTCCAAAGCCGAAGGGAGTTTGGGATTCGGTGCGAGGGAATGGCTACTAGTCGGACAGGAGAGGAAACGGACAAGCATGGAGATGATGACACGAAACATGATTGCTTTGATGCATAGCGAAGAGGCGTTTAGTGAGAGGGAGAGGGAGAGCTGGCAATTGAGCCGGCGCGTTTTACATGTACTTTAGCATAGAGTGCTGAACAACCGCAGCAGCTCGCAGCTAGAGCGTACAAACTGAAGATACCATGAATGAACCGCGATCTCTTCGCTTGAACTTCGTAACGAGTAGTAGGGTGGAGTCTGGAATCTCGGTCGTGCTTCCAGTCTACTGCAATGTTGATCCTCTAGCAGCACGTGGACCGGGCTAGTGGATCTGGTAGCAATGCCGATGCAACGACATCGATGTCGACGTCCGATGAAGACTCCTCCAATGAAAGAAGGCAGTACCTTGTTATGAGGGTAGTTTCGGAAGCTATTCTCATGGTGAAAAAGTCCAAACTAGGAAAATCACTAATCTTCATCCTACCCTATCCTACCTAGGATGAAAAGGATTATCCGGTGATAGATGGGAGAAGTCAAGGATTTAGGTGATGAGCATGGGCAGGAGCAGGAGCAGGTGATTGGCAGTGTACGTTTGGGAAAGAGAGAGCACGGAGAGAGCTCCTGATTATAAGCATGGTTGCTAGTTGATTAGGCTCATGTTTCTTTCAACTCCATCAACTCCACTCTTACATACAGGGAAAATCACTACTCCTCAGAATTCTGATATTTTTGATTGCTCTCAAAGCTCGCCTACTGTGATTTCGGAAGGCCACTTACATTTTACCGTTTCGAACATTTCTTTTCAATCGATTCAATTCGGCGGAAAATCTTCTCGAATACTGCAACAAATTTCGATTTTCAAGAAAGAAAACGGAATCATCGCGCTCCCGGGTCCTCATATCCTTACTTTCGTCCACCACTCACATTCTAACGACCTCTCGACGTGCCTCGACTGCGCTACGATAGGCACAACACCTATGAAATGGCTCGCGTTGTTGATTCTCGACGGCGCTTGCCTCCTCTGGAGAATTTGGATGGACCCACGAACAGCTCTGCAAATTCTGGTAGCGGCAATGTTCATGATGCCAGAAATCGTCGGGCTCATGTTGTTGTTCGGAGGGCTGTGGTGGACAGAATGCGGGATCTTAGTTTTCACTGTGATCCGTTTGGCGAGGTATGTGCTGGGTTCCCATAATCGGGTACTTCGGAGGTCATCTTTCGTGCGGAGGCACGTCGAAGCAGCTGAGACCGGGCACTCAACCGGTGATAAGAGATTCATCGCGGCCACTTCAACCATCATCCAACTCTAGTAATCTTCGAATAACCTTCACCTCAGCATGATCACGCATGTTCTTCATCCGATGACACCAGACAATCTGTCCCTCCTCAAACAAGAACTCCCCACCAACCTGCAACGGCTGTCCACCTCGCAGAACATCTCTCTTCGTGATGCCGTCCGGATCTTGAAGACTCCTCTTGACAGTCACGAATTGTCCATTCGCCCAGGCCGCGGTGCCGATATTCCTCATATACTCTGGTCGACTTCGACCGATATTCAAAGTACTCTTCATCCCCAATCTCTTAAACAGCATTCTTGACGGATCCGCGAACATGGGGAACGGACAATCGCCGCTGAACTTTCTGTATTGAGGAATCAGGTCCGGTTGTCCGCATCCGATGACGATGATTTGGGTTGGGATTGGGATTGAGAAATATTCTTGCATGGAAATGCTTTCAGTCAAAGCTTTGAGGTATGCTTGACATGCTCCGCAGTAGAAGTGTCGGACGAAGATGATCAGTTGGCGTTGGTAGTTCAATCCAGAGGGGTCGTAGTAGAGGGATCCGAAGGTTCTTGAATTGCCTTCTGCGTCGTATATGGGAATGTCTTGGACTTCGGCCAACGTTTCGCGATCAGGGCATTCGTCGGAGTCGAGGGCGTCGAGATCAGAGTCTGAATGGAATCGCGCGAACCATTCTTCTGGCGTGACCACGCTTATCGGGCTTGTCGGACTGTCAAGTTGATCTTGTGAGGAGGAGGAAATCATACTGGTGGGCGCGGTGTCGGCTTCGGTGTCGCTGGAGAAGAGCGAATCTGAGGGCTGCGGTTGCCGGATTCTCTTGCTGAAGGGTAACGTATTGCTCGTGGGAGAAGTAGTGGCCGAGGTAGTTTCATAGGGCGCTTCGAAGCGGGAAGTGCCTATAGGAGAGACATCTCTCATTGGGCTCATCGTGTCGAGGAAGTAGCGCCCGAACGGCGTAGCGAGATCGAGCTAGAGGCAGGAGAGGCGAAGGCGTGGGACGGGCGAGGTGGTAGGAAATGGAAACAGGGCCGTAGAAGTAGGACTGCCTGCCTGCCTCCTGTCAGTGCTGTGGTGCGACATGGCGACGTGTGTCCCCAAGCTTTCCCGCCTGCAGAAGTAACACGTTCGAGATGGCTCCAAGTTTCGGGAAGGCGGCGTGGCGTGGAGACAATGTACATCTCTTCCGCGAGTAAGACCAGCCTGTCGGTCGGGCTTCAGCGAGGGGCCGTCGCCGTCGCTGGTTCGTCCGGATATTCATGTGCTGTTCCCAAGAGCTGTGGGCGTTCTGCGCTCACAACACTCAAAGATTGATGGCCTCGGCTCCGGATCTTCATCCGAATTTCTTCCGGCGCGTAGACATTCGGACTTTCAGCTTGATCTCACTGCAAGACTGCATACCCTTACGCATGGCTGTGCATCAGACGCCGAAGATCACTGGAATTCATGGATCGATGCTGTGGACGCGTCACCTGGCCGAGGCAGGTCAGAAGGTCGACATCGAGAGGTCTTGGCACTCTCAACCTCGACGCAAAACGCAGTATACCATTACTGACCACGGAGATGGCCAACTGAGATCATCACACGAATCATAAGGCATTATGGAAGTTGGTTCTAACTATTCGCAAAGCAAAGCCTCGTGAGTCGTGAAGGTCAGATACAAGAGGACTGACATGTCATTGCAGCAACGGTCGTGAACCTGATCATCTTCATTTCCCTCTCTTAGCCTTTCGCAGTCCTGAATCAATGCCAGTCAAGAGAGGTCCACCTTTCTTCGCCATCCAAGCCTCCCACTTATCGCAAGTCGGCCTGATGAGCGCTGCAACATTTTTCATCTTTTCTTGCATATACTCCTTCTTCTCCACGACATTAACGACCAGACCCATCGAAGAATGCCAAGCGAAATGACTATGGAAATATTAGCTTCGTCACGACAGGCCGTATACTTCAGCACTAGTCGCACACAAACTCACCAATGTAGCGGCCATACTCCTGGATTATCTATGTCCCACTGCACGACCAGGAAACTCGGAGTCGTTGCGGTGCCAGGTCCCATCAACTGCACGTCGCGTCTCTGCGGGTTGGAAGGACGAATGATGGTGCCGTCCCATTTTCCCATGCCGACATTGAGGATCTGCATATTGTGGCCATGGTAATGGATTGGATGTGGAGCCTCGTTGTAGTTGTAGATGATTGCGCGAGCCACTTTCGCGTTTTCATCCACCTGCCACAGGTTGCGATTCACGGAGACCTGGTACAGCGTTTTGTTCAGCGCTTTCCAGAGGAGAGGCTGATTGAAGTTGGCTCGGAAGGTATTGTTGCCCATTGTGAAGACGATGTTGGTGCCGTTGTTCTTGGTCCGGATGTCGAACGTCTGCGTCACGTCGGGAGTGGCAGCAGCCAGTGGATACGTTGGCTCAGTGTTGGCAAGAGGATCATTCGCACACGATCTTGGTGATGGGTCAGTTGCTGGTCCTTGATTGGCAGGTGCTGACGGGTAAGTCTTGGTGTCAGCGCCTTGATAATAGATCGCAGCTTGAGCTTCCGTCAAGACGCCGTCGTTGAGGGAACAGCCCACGATATTAGACCTCATCCAGTACTTCTCACCTTTCTTCCCGGACCCGAAGACGATGACGTCTGCGCGTTGGCCCACTGCAAGAGCCACCATTGACGTGTTGTACGGCTTGAGAGGCATATAGTCCTGAGCAACGACTTGCATGGTATGATTGTCGATGCTGAACTTCTGCACAGCTGCAGCACCGACGTTCATCAGACGAAGCTTATGATTCTTGCCTGACGTGAAATTGAACTTTGCATAGCTTGCGGTCTCACATGGAAGCTTGGTCTTGCTGCAGTCGAATCTCATCTTGCCGTCAATGAGGTTGCTGTTTGCCACGGGTTCGACAGGACCTCCGGACTTCAGCGGCCGGAAGATGGATTGGATCGAAGTCCAGTAGTCCTGGCGATACCATTCATGAAGCATGACTGGGCCGACATCGACATCATAGCCAGAGTTGGAAGGCCCGTAGATGACAATCGGACCTACTGCACCTCCAGCATACTGCGCGGAATAGTGCGTATGATACCACGAACTGCCATACAGCTCGGCCTTCATCGTGTATGTGTAAGTATCTCCTGGAGCAATGGGACACTGCTGAACACCTGGAACGCCATCATTGTGGCAATTATTCAGTTGCAAGAAGCCATGCCAATGGACGGAAGTGCCTTCATCCGGCAGGTTATTGGTCACGGCCACGTTGATGGTATCTCCGTAATTGGCCTCGATGATCGGCCCAGGGAATTGTCCATTGATGCAGACGGCACCTTTCGTCACCACTCCATCTGGCTTGATGTCGCAGTGCGCAACACTAAACTTGTAGTTGCGCACTGCACTTGGCTTCGGAGCTGATTTGTATGGATTCGCATTGCCCGTAGTGATCTTGCCCCAAGGTCTACCGCTGCCACTGTACGAGGCCCAGCCGGGCAGGGTGCTGGAGTTCACTGTTCCCCATCGGCTGTATCCGCTTTGAGCGTACGGGCTGAGCTTGGTGTCGTCGCCATAGCTGGACCAGAGCCAATGTCCAGAAGTTCCAGATCCTGTTGCAGAGCCCCAAGAGCCATAGCCGGTCAGCTGGCGAGCATAGACTTGCCGCTTGGCTTCAAGTTTGTCGTGAAGCTCTCGGTTGGAAGGCTTCAGCCATTGTCCCCAAATGCTTGGTCCTTTACGTCCATAAGCCACAGCTGGCCATGCGGCACAGAACGTTGTCGTGTATAAGATGATTGCGAAGATGGTCAGTAGCATTTTTGCTCATCAGAATGCCGGAATGCCGAGCATGGCACGACGGCAAGAACGACTTGAGCATCTTTGAGGGATTTCGATGGTGACGCTGAAAGGCTCGTTCAGCTTCTCGCGGATTGTACAAGCGATGCTCTTCGCACATCGGCCTGGCATTGGTCGACCTGGTTGAGAGGTATACTGCTGGCGAGAGTCTTGGCAAGGCTCTTTGTCTGAAGGCCGCAAACGATGTGAGCAAATGGCTCGCTGAATCGTAATGGAAAGAACACGCTTACGAGATCACGCTCGATGAACTCAAGCTTCAGCAGAGCACGTTTGCAGATTCATTGCGGACATACAGAGGTCGTGGAGACCCGCTTCCATCTCTGCGTTTGTTCGGCCTTCTGAAGAGCTCCTTTTCACCGCTGCCCGGAGTGCTCCCTTTGTTCTCATCACGGCTGGCAGTCAGCGTTGCCGAGCATAGGATATTGTTGAGGTCACGAGCCTTTGAAACATGAGTTGCGAAAGATGTGGTCACCGTATGGGTGGTGGTGGTGGTGGTAGCCAAGCATTGCGCTGATCTTGGCGGACTTGGCATCTCAGCCTGCAGGTTGACCTTCATTCGCAAATGGCATACCTTATTCTTATTAGACGCTGCATACCATGGCACCCAATATGGTGAGGAACGCAGTCAGCCGGCGCCGGCATTACATGCAGCCTTACAGCAAGCCCGACCGATCTTGCTGCTGCGGTCGCAATCTAGCAGAGAGGACTACCACCCGCAATCTAGCAGAGAGGACCACCACCACCACCACCACCACCGCTTATCGAACGAACTCCAACTCCCTCTGAGCGCCGTAATGCCCCTCTCTGCTGCGAACGCGAGGCGCGCTGGCAGCCAGACCAACCGATGACAAGAGCGGGTGCCAATGTCGAGGGCTGCGGCCGCGACATGCAAGGCTTTGTGCCTGTATATGTGCGTCTTGAGACCACGGACAGCATGCTGCGATGGACTCCTCGTCAGGCATGGCAGTACTTTTGCTTCCAGTCTCGAGATGAGGGCATTCTTGTGCTTGACTTTCTGCTCCGCTCCTTTGCGTAACCTCCGGAGCGATTTTTGCTGTCTCCTCACTCCTGCACGAATGTCCCACTTCAAGCGTTTGCACCGCAATAATCAACCCCGTTCTGCTGCTGATGATTACGCAGACCACCGAAGATCAGGACAGGAGATGTCGAATCAATATGGCTGATTTATCGTGCATGTTAGGAGTTTTAGTGAAAGCCAATTTGGAGGAGTGGAACAGCCGTTCCGCTAGTAATTACTAGCAATAAGCTCCCGCAATCCTCCTGTTTTGTAGCGTTTAGAACTACTCGGCGGTAGTAACGAATTGGGTTAAGAAGGGCGCCTTTCTCGAGCCTATCGGTTAACTATTGCTAAAGCGGCTATTTAACTATTATAGAAGCGGCGCTTTTGTAGTAGAAGTAACTATTATAGACTATTATATAGACTAAGATTAAATACATTATTGTTGCTATAGAATTGCCTTGCCTTTAGCGCCTTCTACGGCTATAGTAGAAGGCCTATCTACGCTAATTGCTATCTCGTCGACCTCGCTATTATTATTCTTATTTAGTACGCGGCCTACGAGTTATTACTAGCTTACTAGCTATTAACTAGCGGTTACTATATGTCCTTATATCTCTTATCTCTCGTCTAATTCGCTCGTCGCTAGGCAGGTTATTAGCGGCGTCGTCTTCTAAGTTGTCTATTATCTAGCTAGTTAGTCGCCTAGCCGCTTGTTCGTAATCGTCGTCTCGGATATAGCTTATTATCGACTCTATAGTATCGTTGTCTATATTGTAGAAGATAAGAAGCTCTTTAAAGCACGAGAGGCCGGAATCGGTAAAGCAACGGTCGTCTACGGTAATGCCGTTAATCTCGCGAATACCGTATATAAAGTCCTATAATAGCTTACCCTAATGCTAGTAGTTAGTTAAATAGGTAGTACCTAGCGGCGCAGGTAGACCGCGTACTAGTAGTATTGTTTGTTCTTCTATTAAATCTACCTCTTTAATGTCGCCTAAATCGAGCGGCTATAAGGACTATATCTATAGAATAGTCTCGCGGCGTATAGGTATATCTAAGAAGATCGTTTCTAGTAGTAGCAGAAGGCGCGGAAGTAGCCTCGGAGTAAGGTTACCTAGCGGAGGTAATAAGAATATAGGTTGTCGAATAGATAACGACTAAATACGCCGTTTTAAAGGTAACGGTCGGAGGGTTATATTAGCGTAGACGTAATGCGTTTCCGGTATAGTTAGTAGTAGTCGAGAGCGAGTTAGTGTCGCTAGCCTAGAAGGCAGTTAAGTTGTCTATTGTCGCTTAGTCTTACCTATAAAGCAGACCTCTTAAGGATTAGCGATAAACTAATTAATATCTAGTACGTAGCAACTGTCCGAGAAGTCTTTAACCTTCCGTACGTAGAAGGCGTAGAATAAGTCCTTTATAGAGCCGTCGATAGAAGGGTCGTCCTTTATCTACTAATACTTTAAATTTAGTGTTTCTACCGCTTCTTTAAAGTAGCCTCGAAGGTCTCGTAATTGGGGTATTTATGCTAAGGAAATAGCGTCTTCTATATAGCCTTCGAATATAAGCTGTTAAGTGTCGAGTTTACGCTAATATAGATTAGCAAGTAGGGCGTTAAGCCCTACAAACAGGTCGATATACCGCCGCTACTATATATTACTAATCTCGAGTCTATTAAATAAGTAGTCTCGAAGAATGTAATAGTAAGGTAGGCGATATTAAAACTAGGCGAGGCAGTTATAGCGAGCCGGAGTTATCTAGTTATAACTACGTAGGGTGCCCTTATATATAGGTGCCGCCTTAGCCTCGAATTTAATAGCAATATCGACCTATTCTCGAAGGCGATCTTAAGCCGCCGGCGGTTGCAGACTCTCGAAGTACGGAAGGCGCTTCTTATACTAATATTGTATACGTTTGCCGACCCTATAGCTAGCTAATTATACCTTATAAGCCTGCCTGTCGTCTACCTTTAGAACCTCGATAATTGTACTATATAGGCTATAGAATACGAGGTTGCGCTTATTGCGGTTATACTTAATAGTATAGTAATAGCCCTCGAGAGGCGAAGTAGTCCGTATTTGTAGCAATAATAGACTATAAAGCCTTGCTTAGGTTGCCTATTTCCGAGAGGATGTCCTATTCTAATTATTACGTATATAGGCGATTTTCTTTTCCTATTCTACCGGTTTCTATTCTCTTAACCACTCTTGTATCTATACTATATCGTTAGTAACCTCGGCGGAGCTACGTACGTAGTAGATTAAGTGGTAAAAGCGCTTAACGATCTCTAGAAATTAGGCCTCTAGGAACGAGTAAAGAAAGGTCTCTTTAACGTACCGCTAGCAGAGGTAAATAAGTATATATCTATCCTTCTAAGACAGGTTGATTGCCGCCTGTTCGGAGGCCGAGTCGTCGACAATAGCGGCTATAGGGTACTAGTATAGTAACTAATTCTTTATAACTCGAAGACCGGCTTCTACTAGCTTAGCTTTCTAAGATTCTAGCAATAGGTGTCCTGCTAGCAACTAATACCCTAAACTATTGCGAATATATATAGTAAAAAGGTTCTAGCTAAGGTCCGTAGTCTTATAAGTTGCGTCTGGTAAGAACAACTGTATAGTGTATAAGTTAGTAATGTTTTGAATTTTTGAAGTTAGTAGTTAGAACTATAGAACGCAAGCCTTAGAAGCTTAGTTATACGCCTGCCTTCTAACTTATAGTAACACTTATATTACCTACCTTAGTATTTAACAACTGTCGCTGCTACTCGGTCTAGAAGACAATGCTACGCTCTACCTTGCCCTTTAGCTTCTTCTTAATTAGCTAATATCGGAGCTGTTTACTGTCGAGGTCGTTATAGAGGCCTTATAGAGCGGTAGGAAGGTCGTTTAGTTAAATACTCGCATTTCTACGGTTATTAGTGCGCACCTTCTTCTAGTTAGGCCCAATCTTCGACTAAGCGATAGTACCGGCCTTTATATACTGTCTACCTATCTTACTAAACTCGTCCTTTAATAGACTACTTCTAATATAATCTAGGACCTTAGCAACGTTTATTTGGCGCTGTTCTATTAGTTCCTCGAGAAATATCTTTAAAGCGTTATTAGACGACCGAATATCTATATACCTTAGGTCGTAGCAATATAAGTCATTCCTAACTATAGAAGGGTCGCTTCTATGCTAGCGGACACTAACCTAATATAGTTAAACCTCCTCTTTCCGGTAATGCGATATAACGACTATCGTAGTATTATACGGCTCCTTATTGTATTTAACCTTGCGAATACTACCCGGAAGCGACCTGTTTCGCTACTAATCGCGCCTATAACGATAATACTAATGCGAGCGCTATTCTAGCTAGTCCTTCGTTCTCGGCGACCTCGACTCCTTATATACGTTGCTTATATATGCCTTTAATACCTTAAACCGGTCCCCTTCGTATATTAATCTATACGAAGGTACGTTAAATAGCTGCTCTCAAATATCGATTATATTGTATAGTATACGGTTAGGCCTAAACGACGGCGGCGGCACTAGTTTAGACAAGACAGGCGGCATATTGTAACGATAAGAAGAGCTATAAGACTAAGCTATTAGTGCTATTATAGCTATTAGAAAGAGCCTAGTTTACATAATAAGAATGCACTTACGTAGAGCCGCGGAGGTACTAAAGATACGGTTAGAACTAGCAGTATAACCGAGAAGGTTATTACGGTACTAGAAGAGGATAAGCACCGTCGAATACTAGGCCAACACTACTAACTCAGTGGATAACGCCCTCCGGAAGGTAACCACTGATTGAAACAGTGGTACGCTAAATTTCCTAACATCCAAGAGGACTCATATAGCTAACCGATGAGCCTCTGCCGCTACTACTAGAACTCAAAAAACGCCTCCCGAATGATCACCTTCACTCGCAATTCAGAACGTCCTCATACGGAGC